ATATGCATACAGGTATTTTTATCCTCCACCGCAAAATAAGCAAGAAAAGAGTTAGCTAGCTACGTTACTTCAGCTGCATTGCATTGCAAATATCAGCAAGGCAAGCTTACAGAATTGTACATCCAATTTGAGGTAAATGCTTTAGCTAGCTAGATTCCTTACATCCACTGTTTCACAAGACGACAGCCTGGTTAGCTGGTTGTTTCAGGAGTCCCTAAAACATTAAAACAACACGAATTACAATTTCATACTCATGTCACAACACCCATTAAGCTAGCCAGCTAGTCAGTTAGCTTTTTTAATAGCTATTTTTGTCAATGTACTTTATGACCAAAATATGCATGACGTTATAATTACTTACATTTTGCTTCAATCTCAGTATTTTTGTCCGCCATCTTGGCTGAAGAAAGTCTCCAGCGTTGGGTCGCATAGCGTCAAACTCGTCATGGGAACCACTCGATATGATTGGTCATCGCTCAGCGGTCGACGCTGGTGATTTGCATAAAGTTGGGAAAAGTTTAACTTTTTCCCCGCCTCCCACGCCACCTACGCGCCGCCCAAAGGTCCCCCGCGATTTCCGCTTCTCACCGTTTTCCTTCCATTGGAAATGAATGAATAGGCCCTTTTCACGTGACGTCAGACAACTTCCGTTCTGCCGCGATGCAGGTTATGTTTACATCCGGTGTCGCTTAGGAACGCTTAGCTAGTAGCACATCATTATGGAGTTCACCCAGTCCCTTTCACATCTGCCACCAATACGACTTAACGACGTAGAACGACTTGCTGACAAGTGGTCCCTTACTTCAAGATCGAAGCTTGATAAAGGCTACAAGTTCTTCGTTGAAGGTTACCTGTTTGATTATGAAGGTACGTGTTTATCTTTATTTAGCTTAAATTAGCCCTATGCTAGCGAAGGTTATGAGCTGACGAGTTTCTGTTTTGCAGCCTCTTTTTAATATTACTGCTGTTTGTATCGACCGTAAGATAAGAGTCAGTAATGTATTAATGGCTAATGCTGCGCCCTTTCTCCCAATCACTGTATTGAAACAGTCTCAAGTGTAGTTAACGGTGAGGTGACAGTGAGAGGGCGATGTTACAGGTCCATGAAGAAAAATGAGGAGGCTCATCGGCTTCAGGTTTCTCAGATAAACAGTTCTCTAACATTATGATAAGATAGGTTAAGATAGATAAGTTTTCTTTTTGTTGTGTTTTGCTGCGGTTGCAGATTTAATAAGAATGATTCCACAAAGTTCCACTGTGGATCAGTTTGTTTCTCAGTCTGAGCTCTGATTTTGTATCATTAAACTTAATACACAACGAAATTCTTACAAACCGATGTGGGTTGTTGACGGCAATAAAGACTGGGAAAGATTCTGTGACAACTCAAAATGTTCAAATTTTCGATAAGTGTTGGCACTACTTGTCAAAGGTTTCAGAACAGCCAATTTTTCTTAATTAAAAAAAGAAATTGGGTTTTGAAAATTGTGTACAGTAGTTTATAATGAAACGCAGAAAAAATGTTTTGTAAGTACAGCACTAATTGTTATGTCTCTATGAACAGGTTACACTAGACTCTGCAGAGGTTCCTGTGGTACTCAATCACATGTCATGTTCCTGCTCTGCTGGGAAAGCACTATGTAATCACATAGTAGCACTTCTTTTTCAAAGTGCTCACTATGTTACCATGGGCTTTAAGACAGTGCCATTGCCTCTGTCATGCACCAGCGCACTGCAGACCTGGCACCGGCCTAGGACACAGGTCAGACATTATTTGTTACACTGATGCAGAACTTTGCAGTTTGTATTGACTTTTGACAATGTATTGTTCATCATTATTATATCACAGGGAATTGTACCAGAGGCCACCAATGATATGGCGGTGTGTAAACCAGCGGCTAAGAAAAAAACAAGTGTCAGAGCTGGTGTGAAGTGCACACTGTACCGAGCCTATGATGGTGAGTCTGAATGAGCCCCCGCCTGTACTAGAGCACAAAGACTTTAGTGCATTTCTAAAATAATACAAACATAAAAGTGATTATTATTTGTTACTTTTTATATAGACTTTCAGTGGATATTTTTTTATTTGTATTAGAAGCATGTACGAGACTGGATGAGTGTGGTTGTCTTTTTTAGTGAAAAAGATAAGGTGGCATTTAATGAAATCTAAACTTGACATATCTCACTTTCATGCCAGGGCCTATTCCGGATCCTCACGTCATGGCCAGTGCTGAGAAACTGAAAGACATCCGTCCACAACCAGGGATTTGCAAATTGCTGCACGGGCTTGAGGGCCTTAATTTGGTGGACTCTAAATTTGGCCCTGTGCCATTTGGGTCTGTGCTTTCTTACCAGTGCACCCTATAAAATAGGGTGTATCTATCCTCAGGGGGAAAGTGCTGACTGCAAACAAAGGTGCTCCCACGAAGAATCTTAAAACTTGGTCCCTCATCTCTCCTGATCGCCCTCACCCAACGGGCACGTATTTCTCCATCAACAGGGAAATCGTGAAAACTCAGATACGGGAATTTCTGTTTGTTGTTTGAACAAAATGGTACACTGCAATAGCATCTTCTCGAAGATTGTGCCATGCTTCGGTGTTGGATGGGATACTGTTGCGATACAGACACCGGGAGAAAAGAAACAGCTAAATTAACATTCAGCTTTGACCAGGAATCAATATTTATCTAGCTATCATGCACAACAGTATTTGAATAGGTGAGTTACTATACATTCATGAATAAACTAACTGCCTAACAAAGGGTTAGATAGCTAGCTAAGTAAACTTGTTACATTACAGCCAGGCAGCAATGTAACGCTACCTTTTAACGTTATCGGTATCTGGTACTAAGTTGTTGTTAGCTAACGTTAGCCCACTTTTAAGTAACAGGCAGTGAACAATTATGAATTAACAATAACGTTAGCAAGTTACAAACCATTGCATATACGTAAACATTATTACTCTTAACTTTACTAATTTAACTTAAACGTACCTTTTGGAATTTCTTCAAGTAGCTAGCTTGCTAGTTAGTGGTCAACAGTTGTATTTTCGTTGAGAAGTCTCAGGTTACGGGCGAACGGAAGTGAAGTTAACCTGCTACGCGGAAAGGCGGAAGTTAGATGACGTCATTGTGAAAAGGGCCTATTCACCGTTTTGGGATTGAGACCTGTCGATTTCCTCCTACTGCACTAGATCTACAGAAAGCGGTTGAATATGAAACCTGTTATCATAATTTATTGTATGACAGTGCTGTGGCTCATCTCCATATTATCATAAAGCCAGTGGTAAGCCTACGTGTAGGTTTCGTAACCGTATGGTAGTCTGTTTACGTGAGTTTCATCATTACTGTTGGCCTACATCTTTGGTTTGGCCTGAGTATAGGAAGTTGATTAAAAAAAATAGACTTTTCAAAGAATGAATTCCCAAAGACAAAAGCACAATACTGTATCTGTTAGTATTTATTAACATTTATTTTATCGTCAACATCTTTTTAAATAACTACGTCGATGAATACCAGTTCACATCAGTTTCTGGCAACAAAAATATATTTACAACTTTTACTTACATACAATATTTACATTATGCACAGGAGGCAGCATGTATACAAGGCGTTATTTGAGCGTTCGGTGTTAGTGATATATACAGAGATATTCCCATTGGGTCAGAGGTCAAACATTTGGCTACCACTGCCTCAGAGTCAGGCGGGAAGGTCTCCATCTCCAAACATATTCATAAAAATAATATTAACAAAAAAAATGACATGTTTTCCCATTGTATAAGACTGCTCAGGTAGAAATGGGGGCCATCTGGTGACTGAAGTTGGATTTGTCCCCTCTCTTCCCACTTTTGGCTCACAAGATGTCCAACTCTGGTCCAGGGGAGTATTCATTACAGAAACCATTTACCGTTTAAGAATGAACACAAACAAGATTCTATTGGACAAATTCAGGTAGGTCCCTCCCAGTTTCATTCCAGTCGCTTCCGTTTAAGAAACATTTTGCAACAGAATCAGTGTAATGAATACACCCCCAGGGCATTAGACTGTTCCTCTGTCTAACGCCCTGAACCAGAACTTGACCACGAGAGACGTCAAACATTTCAACCATTATGAAGGCACTGATCAAAGTGTATTATCATGTGTGTATAACATATGACATGAAATGTAGGATTATCTTTTCCACAGGACTGTGATGAATGGTCTTGTTTCTTTCCCCCTGTAGGTCAGTTTAGACAAGTGACGTCATGGTAGACACTTTCAATACAACAAACTCAGACTTCACGATACAGGCAATTCACTCCCCACTCCATTTTCCAATACTTTGACTTTTGTGCTTCTTCCCTTTATGAAGCAAACAAACATAGCTGCAAGCTATGCACATGCATTTAAAAAAAGACAAGGCTGAGAACTCACTGTTTTAAAAAGAAAATGAACTTTCAAATTAAAAGGTTTTACATTTACATTTTAGTCATTTAGCAGACGCTCTTATCCAGAGCGACTTACAGTTAGTGAATACATCTTTTTTTATACTGGCCCCCCCGTGGGAATTTTGAGGTCAATACACACAAAGTGAGAACGTTGTAGCACGCATTCATAATGCATTGCAGTTGGAACAGCAACCTAAAACGTCTTCTCTTTCAATAGGACAAATACATAATAGAAGCAGAACATTCTCAACCCACCCAGCAAATTTAACATAAATACTTAAATAATGCAATCTTTCTAGATTAGTACCAGCTGTCATTATGGTTTTGCCCAACACTAAAGTCAATGACTAGCTGTAAGAAAAATAACTTTAAATACGTGTCGTTATTGATTGTACAGGCTGTGTAAAATAGCTTGGTTAACAGTTATTGCGCTGTAGTGGTTCTGGTTTAAATGGTGAGAGACTAAGAACTAGTGTTTTTGAGAGGAGCACAGCTTTTGCTTACAGGTATAGTTAGCTATAGTGTTGCAGTTTGGACAATCTCTTCCGGGCATTACTGGGGTGTATTCCTTGGTGCACACCGTAGCAAAATGTTTCGCAATGAAAACACGTTTCTATTGGACAAATTCAGGTAGGTAGGTAGGTTCCCCCTCCTTTGCTTCCTAGTGAATACACCCCTGTTGAATAAGCCAATGAAAAGTGAGGAAGGAAACAACAGGAGTTGGTTTCGAACTGCATGAACACACATTGTAAAACAAAAAGGAACATGTGATAAGATAACTCCATTGTAAAGTGTCAAATTGTAGACAAGGGTCTTAAACGTCTCAAACAGGAACTAAATTATGAAATCACACTTTTTCCAGACGTTGAGAATCTTTCACTGCTAGATAGGGTTCTGACTTGTTTCGTACATAACAATCAAGACGGTACCAAACTGAAGTCGGTAGAAACATGTATAATAGTTGTACTAATATTCTATAAAAATGTCATACGTACATATCAAAATAATTTGTCTGGCTTCTGAAATGTAAACCCCGTTGAAAAAAGAGCTAAACCATAAAGCCATTTTATTGAGCTATTAAACTGTCTTCTTCACCCAAGAAAAAGACGGCCGTTCAAGTTTTCCCCATTAGGGACACATGAGGGGTGTAAAAGATTGTTCTAGTGCAGTGTGTCTAAAGTATTGAGCTTTTGAAAATTGTACCCATGATAGATAAAGTTCTGATGGCAATATTCAATATACACTAAATGGTAAACAACAGCACGCATCACATTTCAAGGTTTTGTGCAACATTCACAGATGACAACAAAAAGGCTGTGTCTTACAGTAGCCTATTGAGTCCGCATAGGATGCCTTTTCTCTGTTGAGGAAGTTTGTCACAGCTTAAGTGGGCTGGAATTGAACCAGGAAGGTCATCCGTCCGTCTTATGATTTTGTCGCCATAAGATACTTTGTTGTTCCTTGCCCTGGTGCATCGTCATGACGACAGGCACTCTGAGACGTCTGAGCAGCAGCAGTAGTATGATTGGATGGGAGCAGCATCTCCGTCGTGATAGGTCCAGCCCTCGTTAGCCCCACCCAGTGCAGACAACAGTGTCACCCCAATGGTCCATGAGTGTTCTAGAACCTACACCATGTTGGTCAGTGCAGTGGAGTCGGTTTCTGAGTCTGCCTCATTTTCCCTGTGAGAACAGAACAGAGAGACCAGGGGTTAGACATGACACATACAAGCAGGTCATATACCTGAACAGTTCACAACAAAATGTACTTTATGAGTAGCAGGCATGTCAAGGAGTGGCAAGGAGCGGAATTTGGCAATCTATCCAATCCTTTCAGATATACAGAGAATGCTTGGGGTACGAGGCCCGAGTTCCCCAATCAGACACGCCAGTCTTACCGTTGCTCCTGAAGCAGCTTCCTGTTGCCCTGCCTCCTCTCTTCGTCGATTGGATAAGAGCGGAATAAGACCAGGCCAATCAGAATGAGTCCTATGGGCGCCGCGGAGACCAGAACCTTTAGGGTTATATCCACGTTCTCAGGCTGGGTGCAACCTCGAGTCATATACCCAGCAAAACTACAAACAAAACAAGACACACACACGAGGTTAGAGGTTAGAGGTCGATTGTACAAATTAATGTAACCGCATGACTGATCAACACGCTAACAAAAAGAGGTTCATGTGACACACACACACTACTGATTTGGATGTGAGAGTTAGAGGAATCATATGAAGTGGAGACTGTAGGGTTGGCTTATCCTCTCATATCTATGTACAGTACGACAGGGGCCGGGGGGGGGGGGGGGGGGGGGGGTGGGCGGGGGGGCAGAGTGTGGGTGTGTTTGTTTTACTTAGAAAGTGCAGAGATGCATTCCAGTGTACTGTGTGTGTGTGTGTGAGAGTGTGTGTGAGTGTGTGAGTGTGCGTGTGCGTGTGTGTGCGTGCGCATGCATCTCTGCTGATGAAGAGTAAACTTACTCCAAGCTGAGAGTAGAGATCCCCAGGGAGATTCCAGAGGCAAACTTGGTGAAGAAGACATAGAAGGAATAGAAGATGGCCTCGTGGCCCTGAGAGTGTGGGTTCCTGACCTGGAAGTCATCCACCACGTCTGGCAGCATGGACCTAGAGACGGAGACAGAGTCAGCGATGTCCACAAACAACCAAACACTAGAGACACATAGGAGATAGTGTTACAAACATGAGGGACAGCGAGCGAGAGATGGTGAGAAGACAGCGAGCGAGCGAAGACAGAGAAAGAGAGAGTCGAAGGTAAGAGAAAAACTCCAACTCACCATGGCAACAGGAAGGCAGCAGCGACTCCAACCCCGGCAGCGAACGACACGGTGTAGGTAACGATGAGATTACTCTTCACACACACCACCAGGATCATGAAGGGTATCACAGACTGCAGAGAGGACAGAAACCCCTTATTATAACACCACCAGGATCATCATCAACATCATTACTACACACCACCTGGATCATCATCAACATCATTACTACACACCACCTGGATCATCATCAACATCATTACTACACACCACCTGGATCATCATCAACATCATTACTACACACCACCTGGATCATCATCAACATCATTACTACACACCACCTGGATCATCATCAACATCATTACTACACACCACCTGGATCATCATCAACATCATTACTACACACCACCTGGATCATCATTATTATTATTTTTAGAGTCAGGCATATAATTACAAGAGTCAGAAGGGTGGCGCTATAAAAAAAAAAAAATCACTGTGGTCATTGGTTACTGACTGGTACCAGAGAAAGCAGTATGACCCATTCTATCGCAAGAAATGACAAGAAATAACCTCAACTGGTGCATTTCCACTGTCAGGCTGCACCATTGTTTGGCCCAAAGATGTTGCCGTCAGTGTTTCCCCATCTGAGGCCCTGGCTCAATAAAGCATGTCTCCGTGGACTAAGGCAGGGTTTTCCAAACGTTGCCCTAGCACTACACAGCTGATTCAAATAAAAGCTTGATGAGGAGTTGGTTATTTGAATTTGATGTGCAGTGCTAGGGCAAAAACTAAAAAGTGCAACTGGGGGGGGGGGTTTGGTAAAGCCTGGACTATGGCATGGTGCTGTGTGATCATTATGCTTATTCTTACCGAGGTGCCAATGTACACAGCCGTCTTCTTGCCAAACTTGGTGAGGAACCACTGCCAGAAGGGGATGGTGAGCATCGCAGCGAGCTGGAGACAAGACAAGGCAAAGAAGAGTGGGATTTAGTCAAAACACTTCATATAGAAAATGGTGGTATTACCATTTTAGTTTTGTCCATATTTTTTTCCCAGTCCATTTCTGAGAAGGGTTGAGTCTGAAACGGAACCCTATTCCACATGTAGGGCACTACTTTTGACCAGGGAACATATAGGGATGCAGCCTGGATATACGCATGTAGTGCACTACTTTTGACCAGGGAACATATAGGGATGCAGCCTGGATATACGCATGTAGGGCACTACTTTTGACCAGGGAACATATAGGGATGCAGCCTGGATATACGCATGTAGGGCACTACTTTTGACCAGGGAACATATGGGGATGCAGCCTGGATATACGCATGTAGGGCACTACGTTTGACCAGGGAACATATGGGGATGCAGCCTGGATATACGCATGTAGTGCACTACTTTTGACCAGGGAACATATAGGGATGCAGCCTGGATATACGCATGTAGGGCACTACTTTTGACCAGGGAACATATAGGGATGCAGCCTGGATATACGCATGTAGGGCACTACTTTTGACCAGGGAACATATAGGGATGCAGCCTGGATATACGCATGTAGTGCACTACTTTTGACCAGGGAACATATGGGGATGCAGCCTGGATATACGCATGTAGGGCACTACTTTTGACCAGGGAACATATGGGGATGCAGCCTGGATATACGCATGTAGTGCACTACTTTTGACCAGGGAACATATAGGGATGCAGCCTGGATATACGCATGTAGTGCACTACTTTTGACCAGGGAACATATAGGGATGCAGCCTGGATATACGCATGTAGGGCACTACTTTTGACCAGGGAACATATAGGGATGCAGCCTGGATATACGCATGTAGGGCACTACTTTTGACCAGGGAACATATAGGGATGCAGCCTGGATATACGCATGTAGGGCACTACGTTTGACCAGGGAACATATGGGGATGCAGCCTGGATATACGCATGTAGTGCACTACTTTTGACCAGGGAACATATAGGGATGCAGCCTGGATATACGCATGTAGGGCACTACGTTTGACCAGGGAACATATGGGGATGCAGCCTGGATATACGCATGTAGTGCACTACTTTTGACCAGGGAACATATGGGGATGCAGCCTGGATATACGCATGTAGGGCACTACTTTTGACCAGGGAACATATGGGGATGCAGCCTGGATATACGCATGTAGGGCACTACTTTTGACCAGGGAACATATGGAATATATAGGGATGCAGCCTGGATATACGCATGTAGGGCACTACTTTTGACCAGGGAACATATAGGGATGCAGCCTGGATATACGCATGTAGGGCACTACTTTTGACCAGGGAACATATAGGGATGCAGCCTGGATATACGCATGTAGGGCACTACTTTTGACCAGGGAACATATAGGGATGCAGCCTGGATATACGCATGTAGGGCACTACGTTTGACCAGGGAACATATGGGGATGCAGCCTGGATATACGCATGTAGTGCACTACTTTTGACCAGGGAACATATAGGGATGCAGCCTGGATATACGCATGTAGGGCACTACGTTTGACCAGGGAACATATGGGGATGCAGCCTGGATATACGCATGTAGTGCACTACTTTTGACCAGGGAACATATGGGGATGCAGCCTGGATATACGCATGTAGGGCACTACTTTTGACCAGGGAACATATGGGGATGCAGCCTGGATATACGCATGTAGGGCACTACTTTTGACCAGGGAACATATGGAATATATAGGGATGCAGCCTGGATATACGCATGTAGGGCACTACTTTTGACCAGGGAACATTATATGGGATGCAGCCTGGATATACGCATGTAGGGCACTACTTTTGACCAGGGAAATATAGGGATGCAGCCTGGATATACGCATGTAGGGCACTACTTTTGACCAGTGGAATATATAGGGATGCAGCCTGGATATACGCATGTAGTGCACTACTTTTGACCAGGGAACATATGGAATCAAGTCCTGGATATACGCATGTAGGCACTACTTTTGACCAGGGAACATATAGGGATGCAGCCTGGATATACGCATGTAGTGCACTACTTTTGACCAGGGAACATATAGGGATGCAGCCTGGATATACGCATGTAGGGCACTACTTTTGACCAGGGAACATATAGGGATGCAGCCTGGATATACGCATGTAGGGCACTACTTTGACCAGGGAACATATAGGGATGCAGCCTGGATATACGCATGTAGGGCACTACTTTTGACCAGGGAACATATAGGGATGCAGCCTGGATATACGCATGTAGGGCACTACTTTTGACCAGGGAACATATAGGGATGCAGCCTGGATATACGCATGTAGGGCACTACTTTTGACCAGGGAACATATAGGGATGCAGCCTGGATATACGCATGTAGGGCACTACTTTTGACCAGGGAACATATAGGGATGCAGCCTGGATATACGCATGTAGGGCACTACTTTTGACCAGGGAACATATAGGGATGCAGCCTGGATATACGCATGTAGGGCACTACTTTTGACCAGGGAACATATAGGGATGCAGCCTGGATATACGCATGTAGGGCACTACTTTTGACCAGGGAACATATAGGGATGCAGCCTGGATATACGCATGTAGGGCACTACTTTTGACCAGGGAACATATAGGGATGCAGCCTGGATATACGCATGTAGGGCACTACTTTTGACCAGGGAACATATAGGGATGCAGCCTGGATATACGCATGTAGGGCACTACTTTTGACCAGGGAACATATAGGGATGCAGCCTGGATATACGCATGTAGGGCACTACTTTTGACCAGGGAACATATGGAATATATAGGGATGCAGCCTGGATATACGCATGTAGTGCACTACTTTTGACCAGGGAACATATGGAATATATAGGGATGCAGCCTGGATATACGCATGTAGTGCACTACTTTTGACCAGGGAACATATGGAATATATAGGGATGCAGCCTGGATATACGCATGTAGGGCACTACTTTTGACCAGGGAATATATAGGGAGCCATTTGGGATGCAGCCATTATGTCATGTTCAGCCTCTGTAACGTGGGTCAGACTACAAAACACTTCAAACCAAAACAGCAGTTCAGTCTGGTTTGCGTTTAGGATTTACCAGTCTTCCTAATGTAGACATTCTACAAATGGGAAGACTGCTTCCCAAAATTCTAACCGAAGTTAAAAAAAGGGTCCAATGCAGCTGTTTTTTTTAAATCTCAATATCAAATGATTTGTGGGTAACAATTAAGTACCTGACTGTGACCGTTTTCAAAAAAAAAAAAAAAAAAAAAATGGTCAAAAACAAAACAAAAATAGTTTCTTAACAAGAGTAATTAATTTTGCTAGGACTGTGGGGGAGTGGTCTGAGTGGGGAGGGGAAAACTGAAGAATAGCTGTTATTGGCAGAGAGGTTTGGAACTCTTTCTTCTTGGTCTATTAACCAACCGCCTGGTAAACAATCTCATCTAGAATGCTAAAATCACATTGTTATCGTCACAAAAGTATTATTATACTTAATCATTTGTTTTATACAACAATTAGATGCAAACCTCATAACTGGGAAGTGTAGCCCCCCAGAGATACAGTTATGTTGTTCCACCGTCTTTAATGACATCACAACATAGTAACGAATTTGACATGATTGTTCTTTAAGTCGCCACCGACCATTTCCCACATTCTTTGAAGTATGAATGTTGTTTCATTATCAACTTTTGGATGTTGGGAGTTTTGGCGAGAAGAATCTCTGTGTTAACAAAGGGGTCCTTTCTCCCAATACTTCATGGCAAGGAAGAGAGTCTGCACGGTACTTACTACCGGTCATAAAACTGGCCTCCAGGAGAGGGGGGTGTTCAAACTTTTGCCTAGCCGGCATCTTTGATCCTCAGCCCGTGAAGGCAAGTCATGACAACATCAAGGTAATCTGGCAATACCACAAGGTAATCTGCATCTAGTTTGCCTTGAACCGTCTGCACCCCACTGCCTGACAAGTATCGTTCTCCTTCCAGCATTAAAACATTTGCAGTGTCTACAAAAAAATATATACAGTGGGGAGAACAAGTATTTGATACACTGCCGATTTTGCAGGTTTTCCTACTTACAAAGCATGTAGAGGTCTGTACTTTTTTATCATAGGTACACTTCAACTGTGAGAGACGGAATCTAAAACAAAAATCCAGAAAATCACATTGTATGATTTTTAAGTAATTAATTTGCATTTTATTGCATGACATAAGTATTTGATACATCAGAAAAGCAGAACTTAATATTTGGTACAGAAACATTTGTTTGCAATTACAGAGATCATACGTTTCCTGTAGGTCTTGACCAGGTTTGCACACACTGCAGCAGGGATTTTGGCCCACTCCTCCATACAGACCTTCTCCAGATCCTTTAGGTTTCGGGGCTGTCGCTGGGCAATACGGACTTTCAGCTCCCTCCAAAGATTTTCTATTTGGTTCAGGTCTGGAGACTGGCTAGGCCACTCCAGGACCTTGAGATGCTTCTTACGGAGCCACTCCTTAGTTGCCCTGGCTGTGTGTTTCGGGTCGTTGTCATGCTGGAAGACCCAGTCACGACCCATCTTCAATGCTCTTACTGAGGGAAGGAGGTTGTTGGCCAAGATCTCACGATACATGGCCCCATCCATCTTCCCCTCAATACGGTGCAGTTGTCCTGTCCCCTTTGCAGAAAAGTATCCCCAAAGAATGATGTTTCCACCTCCATGCTTCACGGTTGGGATGGTGTTCTTGGGGTTGTACTCATCCTTCTTCTTCCTCCAAACACGGCGAGTGGAGTTTAGACCAAAAAGCTCTATTTTTGTCTCATCAGACCACATGACCTTCTCCCATTCCACCTCTGGATCATCCAGATGGTCATTGGCAAACTTCAGACGGGCCTGGACATGCGCTGGCTTGAGCAGGGGGACCTTGCGTGCGCTGCAGGATTTTAATCCATGACGGCGTAGTGTGTTACTAATGGTTTTCTTTGAGACTGTGGTCCCAGCTCTCTTCAGGTCATTGACCAGGTCCTACCGTGTAGTTCTGGGCTGATCCCTCACCTTCCTCATGATCATTGATGCCCCACGAGGTGAGATCTTGCATGGAGCCCCAGACCGAGGGTGATTTACCGTCATCTTGAACTTCTTCCATTTTCTAATAATTGCGCCAACAGTTGTTGCCATCTCACCAAGCTGCTTGCCTATTGTCCTGTAGCCCATCCCAGCCTTGTGCAAGTCTACAATTTGATCCCTGATGTCCTTACACAGCTCTCTGGTCTTGGCCATTGTGGAGAGGTTGGAGTCTGTTTGATTGAGTGTGTGGACAGGTGTCTTTTATACAGGTAACGAGTTCAAACAGGTGCAGTTAATACAGGTAATGAGTGGAGAACAGGAGGGCTTCTTAAAGAAAAACTAACAGGTCTGTGAGAGCCGGAATTCTTCCTGGTTGGTAGGTGATCAAATACTTATGTCATGCAATAAAATGCAAATTAATTACTTAAAAATCATACAATGTGATTTTCTGGATTTTTGTTTTAGATTCCGTCTCTCACAGTTGAAGTATACCTATGATAAAAAGTACAGACCTCTACATGCTTTGTATGTAGGAAAACCTGCAAAATCGGCAGTGTATCAAATACTTGTTCTCCCCACTGTATTTCTGTGTGAATAGATTCACATGTCCTGAACACAACAGGCTACTGTTGTCCTGTCTGTGCTCACCACTCGACTAGCAGCATAACCACCACCCACAAAGACTACTAGAAAGACTACTGGCTACAGCAGATTCACAAAGTGCTGCTTGACAACAAAGAGGCAGTCCCAAATGACACCCTATTCCCTATATAGTGCACTATATAGGGAATAGGGGGCCATTGGGGACGCTGACCAGAGACAAGGTCCTTTTGTCTTGTTGCCTCCTCATGAACCAACTTCCTCTGCATTGGGGACAAGGTCTCGTTTGTGTAACACCCCCCCCCTGTCCTGTGTTCCCTCTGCCCAGCCCAATCTGGCAACCCTATTGAGTTACACTATTGCCCAATCTGGCAACCCTATTGAGTTACACTATTGCCCAACAGTGTAGCGATGAAGACTGTGCCCTTGACCAAAGAGGAGCCAAGCCACCTGGAGTGACATCCATGCTAAAAAGGCTGGAGTGACCCCATTAGTGAGGCCAGGGAGACCTGGTGAAGGCTGTAGTGCTGAATCACATTGACCTTTACAATAAAGAAACAGGTTAAGAACCCTTAATGGCCTTCGAAGAGGTGAATGTAGAATGAAGCTGCCCCGAGACACTGCTAAGGATTAAGGGGAGGGGATGCCGATCCTAGAGCTGTGCCCAATGGTAAATGTAAGGATTTGGGGAAGCTGATTTTATTTATCTCTTCTTTTACCAGGTAAGTTGACTGAGAACAGTCATTTACAGCAACAACCTGGGGAATAGTTACAGGGGAGAGGAGGGAGGATGAATGAGCCAATTGGAAGCTGTGGATGATTAGGTGGCCATGATGGTATGAGGGCCAGAATAGGGAATTTAGCCAGGACACCGGGGTTAACACCACTATTCTTACGATAAGTGCCAGGGGATCGTTAGTGACCACAGAGAGTCAGGACACCCGTTTAACATCCCATCCGAAAGACAGCACCTTACACAGGGCAATGTCCCCAATCACTGCCCTGGGGCAATGTCCCCAATCACTGCCCTGGGGCAATGTCCCCAATCACTGCCCTGGGGCATTAAGGGGAAAGAGTGCCTCCTACTGGCCATCCAACACCACTTCCAGCAGCATCTGGTCTCCCATCCAGGACCAACCCTGCTTAGCTTCAGAAGAAAGCCAGCAGTGGGATGCAGGGTGGTCTGCTGCTGGCTAGATCTGTGCCTAATGGTAAAGATTAGGGGAGGGTAAGCTGATCCTAGATCTGAGTTAAGTCAATAAAATCATAACTAACTCCTAAAGGTCATTCTACTACAACTAAGATCTTACATAAAGGAAAGGTTATTAAGACAGTAATATTTTCCCTTTTATTTATCGAATTAGCACTAAGCTTTTCGAACTCACTGACCAGTGGGTGAGTTTCCCATAGTTCACAGGCCTACTGTACTGCAGTCAGGTCCTGTCTCAGATTAAACTGCCACACTCACCAACTACATTCCTGTCAGGATAAAGACTTCATTAAGTATGTTTAATCATATGACTGAGAAGAGGGACAATGGGGAGAGAGAGACAGAGACTTTTACAGCAGAGGGTAAATGTCTGTGGGAACAGGCTGGTATTCGAACCAGGCCAGTGGGAACAGGCTGGTATACTTGTAGCTGCTCATTACTTTGATCTGTGGTATTCAGACCAGGCCAGTGAAAGTGAACAGCCTGTTCCCACTGGGCAACAACCTGACACTACGCATGTTCTCATACAGAGAGAGAGAGAGAGACAGCTCTTTTGTATAGAAAACCTCCTGAATGTCTCCAGTGGTTCAGTCAAGGTTGCACTAACAATAGAGGTCAGTGAATGATGTGGGAAAAGAGTCTCAATCTGGCTGCATTTTTTTTGGGGGGGGGGTCATTTAGCAGACACTCTTATCCAGAGCGACTTACAGTTAGTGAGTGCATACATTTTCATACTGGGGTCCCCCCGTGGAAATCGAACCCACAACCCTGGCGTTGCAAACGCCATGCTCTACCAACTGAGCTACATGGGACTATATAAAGGCCATTGACACTTGTGTGCATCAGCTCTGTGTGTGTGTGTGTGTGTGTGTGTGTGTCCTCACCATGATGACCAGTAGAATGTTCTGGAAGTCGTTCCTAAAACCCAGAGTGTAGCAGCAGAACAGAGCAAAGTTCCCTTCCAGGAGCTGCAGAGAGAGTGAGAAAACAGACATGCTCAGTTAAGACTGGCCCCCACACAGGCGCCAAGCGCTGGCTGGCTGGAGACTAAACTTTAACACGACGGGCGGCTTAGCCCAGAGACCACATAAATAAAAGAGAACACACACACACTCTCTCTCTCTCAAGGAGCAGAGTGGTGGCAGACAGCCTATCCTAACACGGGGCCATATTGACGGTTAGCTTTATGGTTGTGTTGAGTTTTATTGTAGGTGAGGTTACGGTCAGTGACCGGGATATTGTAACACCACAACGTGACATTTCTACAAAACGTGTGTGTGTGTGTGTCATCACTCACCATTAAGTGCATGTCAAATTGTGAACACTAGTGTAAGCATTAGTGAGAGAGCATGCGTGTGTGGATATGGAACATTCACGCTCAAATGTTTGTGTGTAATATGCTTCACTGACCTGTAAATACATATGGGTGTATGTAGACATGCAAATGCAGAGAGCAAAAGTGTGTGTGTGTATATATATATATATATATAGCCGCTGTAGTCACCATAAAAGCCAGTGAGGTGAAGAGGAAGCCCATGACCAGCTTGACGTATGGTCCATGGCCCATCACCAGTCTGATACCCTCCCAGAACGACATGAGCTCTGACCGGGGGCGAGACGACTCTGGAGGGGGAGGACAGAGAGACAGACAGAGAGAGAGAGAGAGAGACAGAGGATGTTGTAATATAAAAGTTAACCTAATAATATGTCAAAATGTGTTTCAACTTTAGGATATCCCCCATCAGAGAGGGTGAGAGAGTTCTAGGAGGAATGATTATATAATCTAAAATATTTATACAAATTAAAAACACTAGGAGACTGCGTATAATACCTCTTATTTAACAGATTCCGTTTTTTTGGAAGAACTCCCCTTAACTGAATTTGATAGGAATCAGCCTATTGTAAAAAAGTCACTCAGGGGATGACAAGTACGTTTCCTAGTAAACCCTCATTGGTTAGAGCATCAAGCCAGCAGGGCCACAGCCCATAGACACAGGAGACAGAAACAGCGTCGTACCGAGTCATCATCACACCACACTGTAGAGCTCAATAACATCCACACGAGTGAGTGGGCGTGTTTAGAAGACCGGCAGGCTATCGGGGGAACCCCCCCCCATCACGAGTTCATCATTATCCAATAGGTACATGGAAATGAATGACTCAGAGTTAACACATAATGCCTCTGAAATATCAATAAGGGTTTGTTGATTTGAGGGCTGGTAGATAAATGCTTTACCTTTCCTCTCCTTGACTCCGAGGAACAGCACCACGGCACAGAGAACGTAGATGGAACAGATGGCACCAGAGGCTATCATGTAGGCTGTTTTCTGTAGTTGACAGTGGAGAGGCACAGCAGGTTAGTGGACCATAGTAACAGAAGATAGATGGGAGGGACAGCAGGTTAGTGGACCATAGTAACAGAAGATAGATGGGGGGACAGCAGGTTAGTGGACCATAGTAACAGAAGATAGATGGGAGGGACAGCAGGTTAGTGGACCATAGTAACAGAAGATAGATGGGAGGGACAGCAGGTTAGTGGACCATAGTAACAGAAGATAGATGGGAGGGACAGCAGGTTAGTGGACCATAGTAACAGAAGATAGATGGAGGGACAGCAGGTTAGTGGACCATAGTAACAGAAGATAGATGGAGGGACAGCAGGTTAGTGGACCATAGTAACAGAAGATAGATGGGAGGGACAGCAGGTTAGTGGACCATAGTAACAGAAGATAGATGGGGGGACAGCAGGTTAGTGGACCATAGTAACAGAAGATAGATGGGGGGACAGCAGGTTAGTGGACCATAGTAACAGAAGATAGATGGGAGGGACAGCAGGTTAGTGGACCATAGTAACAGAAGATAGATGGGAGGGACAGCAGGTTAGTGGACCATAGTAACAGAAGATAGATGGAGGGACAGCAGGTTAGTGGACCATAGTAACAGAAGATAGATGGAGGGACAGCAGGTTAGTGGACCATAGTAACAGAAGATAGATGGGAGGGACAGCAGGTTAGTGGACCATAGTAACAGAAGATAGATGGAGGGACAGCAGGTTAGTGGACTATAGTAACAGAAGATAGATGGGAGGGACAGCAGGTTAGTGGACCATAGTAACAGAAGATAGATGGGAGGGACAGCAGGTTAGTGGACCATAGTAACAGAAGATGGGATCGGGAGAGACACTTAAGTGTTTTAGTACTATATCTCTTGACACAATGATGAAAATAATCATGGCCTCTAAACCTTCAAGCTGCATACTGGATCCTATTCCTACTAAACTGCTGAAGGAGCTGCTTCCTGTGCTTGGCCCTCCTATGTTGAACATAATAAACAGCTCTCTATCCACCGGATGTGTACCAAACTCACTAAAAGTGGCAGTGATAAAGCCTCTCTTGAAAAAGCCAAACCTTGACCCGGAAAATATAAAAAACTATCGGCCAATATCGAATCTTCCATTCCTCTCAAAAATTTTAGAAAAAGCTGTTGCGCAGCAACTCACTGCCTTTCTGAAGACAAACAATGTATACGAAATGCTTCAGTCTGGTTTTAGACCCCATCATAGCACTGAGACCGCACTTGTGAAGGTGGTAAATGACCTTTTAATGGCGTCAGACCGAGGCTCTGCATCTGTCCTCGTGCTACTAGACCTTAGTGCTGCCTTTGACACCATCGATCACCACATTCTTTTGGAGAGACTGGAAACCCAAATTGGTCTACACGGACAAGTTCTGGCCTGGTTTAGATCCTACCTGTCGGAAAGATATCAGTTTGTCTCTGTGAATGGTCTGTCCTCCGACAAATCAACTGTACATTTCGGTGTTCCTCAAGGTTCCGTTTTAGGACCACTATTGTTTTCACTATATATTTTACCTCTTGGGGATGTTATTCGAAAACATAATGTTAACTTTCACTGCTATGCGGATGACACACAGCTGTACATTTCAATGAAGCATGGTGAAGCCCCAAAATTGCCCTCGCTAGAAGCCTGTGTTTCAGACATAAGGAAGTGGATGGCTGAAAACTTTTTACTTTTAAACTCGGACAAAACAGAGATGCTTGTTCTAGGTCCCAAGAAACAAAGAGATCTTCTGTTAAATCTGACAATTCATCTTGATGGTTGTAAAGTCGTCTCAAATAAAACTGTGAAGGACCTAGGCGTTACTCTTGACCCTGATCTCTCTTTTGACGAACATATCAAGACTGTTTCAAGGACAGCTTTTTTCCATCTACGTAACATTGCAAAAATCAGAAATTTTCTGTCCAAAAATGATGCAGAAAAATTAATCCATGCATTTGTTACTTCTAGATTAGACTACTGCAATGCTCTATTTTCCGGCTACCCGGATAAAGCACTAAATAAACTTCAGTTAGTGCTAAATACGGCTGCTAGAATCCTGACTAGAACCAAGAAATTTGATCATATTACTCCAGTGCTAGCTTCCCTACACTGGCTTCCTGTTAAGGCAAGGGCTGATTTCAAGGTTTTACTGTTAACCTATAAAGCGTTACATGGGCTTGCTCCTACCTATCTTTCCGAGTTGGTCCTGCCGTACATACCAATACGTACGCTACGGTCACAAGACGCAGGCCTCCTAATTGTCCCTAGAATTTCTAAGCAAACAGCGGGAGGCAGGGCTTTCTCCTATAGATCTCCATTTTTATGGAACAGTCTGCCTACCCATGTGAGAGACGCAGACTCGGTCTCAACCTTTAAGTCTTTACTGAAGACTTATCTCTTCAGTAGGTCATATGATTGAGTGTAGTCTGGCCCAGGAGTGTGAAGGTGAACGGAAAGGCTGGAGCAACGAACAGCCCTTGCTGTCTCTGCCGGGCCGGTTCCCCTCTCCACTGGGGTTCTCTGCCTCTAACCCTGTTGCAGGGGCTGAGTCACTGGCCTGCTGGTGCTCTTTCATGCCGTCCCTGGGAGGGGTGCGTCACTTGAGTGGGTTGAGTTACTGACGTGATCTTCCTGTCTGGGTTGGCGCCCCCCCCCCTTGGTTTGTGCTGTGGTGGAGACCTCTGTGGGCTATACTCGGCCTTGTCTCAGGATTGTAAGTTGGTGGTTGGGGATATCCCTCTAGTGGTGCGGGGGCTGTGCTTTGGCGGAGTGGGTGGGGTTATATCCTTCCTGTTTGGCCCTGTCCGGGGGTTTCTTCGGATGGGGCCACAGTGTCTCCGGACCGCTCCTGTCTCAGCCTCCAGTATTTATGCTGCAGTAGTTTATGTGTCGGGGGGCTGGGGTTAGTTGGTTATACCTGGAGTACTTCTCCTGTCTTATCCAGTGTCCTGTGTGAATTTAAGTATGCTCTCTCTAATTCTCTCGTTCTCTCTTTCTCTCTGAGAACCTGAGCCCTAGGACCATACGTCAGGACTACCGGGCATGATGACACCCTGCTGCCCCCAGTCCGCCTGGCCTTGCTGCTATTCCAGTTTCAACTGTTCTGCCTGCGGCTACGAAACCCCTACCTGTCCCAGACCTGCTGTTTTCAACTCTAAATGATCGGCTATGAAAAGCCAACTGAGAGACCTGAGCCCTAGGACCATACGTCGGGACTACCGGCCGTGGTGACTCCTTGCTATCCCCAGTCCGCCTGGCCTTGCTGCTATTCCAGTTTAAACTGTTCTGCCTGCGGTTATGGAACCCCTACCTGTCCCAGACCTGCTGTTTTAAACTCTAATGATCGGCTATGAAAAGCCAACTGAGATTTATTCCTGATTATTATTTGACCATGCTTGTCACTTATGAACATTTTTGAACATCTTGGCATGGTTCTGTTATAATCTCCACCCGGCACAGCCAGAAGAGGACTGGCCACCCCTCATAGCCTGGTTCCTCTCTAGGTTTCTTCCTAGGTTTTGCCTTTCTAGGGAGTTTTTCCTAGCCACCGTGCTTCTACACCTGCATTACTAGCTGTTTGGGGTTTTAGGCTGGGTTTCTGTACAGCACTTCGAGATATTAGCTGATGTAAGAAGGGCTATATAAAATAAAATTGATTGATTGATTGAAGATAGATGGGAGGGACAGCAGGTTAGTGGACCATAGTAACAGAAGATAGATGGAGGGACAGCAGGTTAGTGGACTATAGTGTGCGTGTGTATCGGCGTATGAGTGAGTGTGTGTGTGTGTGTGTGTGTGTGTGTGTACCGTCTGGTCCAGTGTGATGTCGGGAGAGATGACCGTGGCGTTAACTTCCTGTCCCAGCAGCAGGGAGGAGTTTAGCCCCTCGGCCGTTACATTGTCACCAGGGGCCAGGATACAGGGGGCGTTGGCCATGCCCACAATCTGACCCTGGATGGCTGTGCCAATCACAGTACCCAGAACCTCCACCGTCATTCCTGATTGGATGAGAGAAGCATACAGATTACTCAAACCAACAAATGCTCATCTTTCCATTCTGTCCAAAAAAAAACACCAATGATCATCTCTGTAGCACAGTTGGTAGAGCATGGTGCTTGAAAATGACAGCATAGTGTGTTCAATTCCCGGAACCACCCATACGTAAAATCAATGCATGCATGACTAAGTCGCTTTGGATAAAAGAGTCTGCTAAATGGCATAGTATAAATATTAATATGTCTATTATTGATTAATTGGATTGTGTCCCAATATCCAAACTCGTAGACTACTTACTAGCGATGGGCAACAATATCGATAATTCAATGTGATATTGATACAGTTTGAGCAAGGCGTATCGTGATATCAGTTTATCCTTGCAACCTGTTAACAACCTGTTAGGGACAACTCGCAGACTCAACTTAACGTACTTAAATGGCCTGAAGATGTGGCATTAATGGGTGATGGGGTTCTCATTGTATTCAAACTGGTCAGGTAGGTTTAGTCTCCTAGAGTATTCACACTTGGCCCAGTGGGCAACCAACCAACTGTCGTCTGGACAGAGCCTTGAAAGTGAACACAGCTGCAATATTATTTATAAACCTGATATAAAAATAAATAAAAAATCAGAAAATGCAACTTGTATGGATACAGATTTTCCATATCGGTTCCCATCACTACTACCTAGTATTAAGCGCTGTATTGACCGTGTATATTAAATAGTGTGTTAAGGGACTTACTGTAAGCAGTGGCAGAGTCCCGCTCCTTCTGGTCTTCACTGATGAACATGGTGAGAGCGGAGTAGGGCACATGGAAACACTGGAGAGAGAGAGTGAATGTTATGAGACACATTAAAAATGTATCCCAACTTAAAACTGATTGTACTGTGTTTGTGTTGTTCTATACATCTGGTCCAGCTCTTGTACGACTAATTTGGATGTGTGTGTCGTCGGCCTCCTAGTGGATGTGTGTGTTGTAGGCCTTCCAGTGGATGTTTGTGTTTGTGTGTGTGTGTGTGTGAATTTCCCAACTGCTGCTCTACCAGTACGCCATTCCAGCCAGTAGACTAGATGACTCACCGTCTGGAGGGTCTGGAAGAGGCAGTAGAAGACCAGGTACCAGATGACCTTCCCGTCCTCAAACGGAGGAACATACCAGATGAGGAAATAACTGACCACTGCTAGAGGAGTGGAGAACAGGATCCTAGAGAGAGAGAGAGAGAGAGAGAGAGAGGTCAGTCAGTGTGTAAAAACACACGTCATGTTCCCCTCACACACATGTTCTCTTCCTCATGTGACACACTTTCCTTTGGCACTCCAGTGGAAACAGACCATGATGACGTCATCCCTGAGTAATGAGTCACTCCGGTAGAACGGAGGAATGTCTATGTAACTTCCTGTCCCAGTTATGGACTTCCTGTGGCCTGATCGACACGATCCAACAGAACAAGAGGGGCTTGGGGGTATGTGGACCCGCATGAACGGGAAATGGGAGTCAGGTTTCCCGAGCAGGAAACAGCTGCATCACATCCGGTCATTGATTGGCTAAGGAGGATATGGTGCAAGCCAGCCGCATCATCATCATCCTGATCCGGCGAGCCACTAGATCTCAATCGTGCACGGACAGGAAATTATGTCATATCGGACCACAATACGCCATCATGTGCAACCTGATCTCCCCAGTGTTTATGACAACAGTCCAGCCATGCGTTTGACATGGCGGATTAGGACACCGCAAAATAAACCATGACACATTCCTTCAGAACTAGATTATTTGTTTGGCTACTTCAGGTTCAGTCTGTTGGTGGAAATGCCCTAAAGGGGTGTATCAAAAGTCCAAAATGTTTCGTTGTCTCCTTTGCTTCATCAACACCAATAAAACATTTTTTTTTTTTTTTTTAACTGGTCCGGTAAATGCTTAGATCATGTTTTGTTCTAACCTTGTTATTTTTAGCATTACATTGTTATTGATTACTGAATTGTTGGGGTTAGAGTTTGCAAGAAAGGCATTTCACTGTACTTGTGACATTAAAATTTAACTTGGATTGGCTCAAACTTATTTTGGGACCTACTTTCACATCCACAGCAGCTTTGTCTCCTTGTTTCTAAAAGCACTGGGCAGGTGGAAGCTGCATTTCCTAACGGGACCTACTTTCACCCATCACTATTGACCTGGGAATGGAGGAAATACCCAAGAGAGGAAGCCACTTTACACAGCGGAGATGCAGCCAGCCATAATGAGTACAGTACAGGACTGAGGAGAGAGTGGGTGAGAGAGTACGCCCCACCAACTCGTGCGTGTGATGTGATGAGTGGCAGAGGGATTGTTGTGAAAACGATACGTGAGAGGGAGGGTGTGATCTCAGGGACACAGAGCAGATGCTGGGTTATATTTAGGGAGTGGTGTGACCAACCCACCAGGAACGTACTATACCGTCAGGAGACTAGTTTAGCCTTCCTCCACTCTCTGTGCCACATCAAAGAGTGGGTTAAAAAAAAAAAAATCACTGGGGAAGCCAACCCAGGGAGAAAAAAAAAAAAGCCATATTATAAACATGTTGTGATAATTGCGTTGTTTGCTCTATAACCTGTTAGGACTAGATCACAGTGTCAAGGCATATGAACTAAGGTGGAGACCATAAGATGACAGTGTCAAGGCATATGAACTAAAGGTGGAGACCAGAAGAAGACAGTGACGCCACTGTGTCAAAGATCACTTGGCTCTGCCACGTTTCAATACTGTCTGTGTGTTAAGACAAAGTCCTGTTTAATATCTGTCTATAAGTGTTTATTGTAGTTCATTGAGTAATGCTGCATCTTTATTATCCAAATTAAGACAAAAGTTCAGTTTAATGATTTACTAATTACTAGTGTATGAAATCGGATTTTCTGAACATAGTATAGAATTTCACACAGATGTCAAAAAAAATTGGGTCAGTTGGACCGTGAGACGATCTGCCAGTTCTGAACTGCTGTTAACAGACTTAATTTTTCATAGAACGGTGGTCTTTTGACACTTTGGCGCCAACCTCTGTTTGCCTGTGACACGGTACGAGACTCATAAAAGCAGCTCGAAAATGTCCTACGTGCGATCGGCCTGAGCGACCCAGCCATACTTCTTCCAAATAGAGCGACACCCATCTGACGTGGACATAAAAAATAAATAAAAAAAAAGACAGGATGTTGTGTGCCAACTGCCAAACCTGACTCCCATAGCCTACCCACCTCACAGTATAACTGAGCCTATAAACCAGAAGCATATGACAGACACTCCGGAGTCAAATTACTTCCTCCCCTCCGCTAAAATAGCCCCAGTGACTGAGGGAGGGGTCAGAGTTAAACTTATTTTTAAAAAAAAGTCAAGTAACTATTAGGAGTTAGTTTAGCAAACACCTGTAGCGACATGCTAATTCGTAATAAAGGGATGGGGGTTAAACTCATTTTGAATGAAGCAGAGATGGTAACGACATGAAAACAGCAGTGATAAAGGACTTTTATGAGCTCTGGTAATTATGATAGCAGAGCAGATGCTGGGTTACTTTTTAGGGAGTGGTGTGACCAACCCCCCCCCCCCCCAAGGAATGTACCATCCATAATGCCACGTCAGGAGCCTGGATTAGCCCTTCTCCGCTCTCTGTGCCACATCAAAGCAGCAGTGGTGCGTGGGTAATTTCACCGGGGAAGCCAAGCCCATGGAAAAGAAAGACATATTATAAAACCTGTTGTGATAATTGTGTTGTTTGCTCTATAACATGTTAGTTCATATGCCTTGACACCGTGATATATATAGGCCTAAGGTGGAGACCAGAAGACAGTGGCAGCAAACGCTTGTAGCAACATGCTAACCGTAATAAAAGGAAAGGGATAAACATTTTGAATCAAGCAGAAATTGTTTATGTTTTCATACGTTTACATACAACTGCCACGTGGGTGAAGACATAACCAACGTGTGGTTTTCAAGAAATTCTTCATACCTATTCAGTGACCATTACAGTACATTATGGCATTATATAGGATTATTGGATCAATAAAAAAAATGTCAAAATACTTTCTATTAAACTGAACATAGCTGACAGGATAAGTGGACATATGGCTTATAAAAAGGATAAAATGAGTCAGTAGTCCCCTGTAGCTCAGTTGGTAGAGCATGGGCGCTTGCAACGCCAGGGTTGTGGGTTCGATTCCCACGGGGGGCCAGTATGAAAAATGTATGCACTCTAACTGTAAGTCACTCTGGATAAGAGCGTCTGCTAAAATGACTAAAATGTCAAACGTAAATCTTAGGAAACTAGACTGGAGTTCCTGGTAATATTGACAACAGTGACGCTAAACAATGCAAAACAGAAAAATGCATAGCGTGCTCTGACAGACGAGGGCTAATAGTCCTTTAAATTTGACACAGCAGTCTGACACTGTGCTCATGCCTTCAGCTCTCTAGCTTGTCCACGTCTCTTGACCTGCAGTAACCCCATCAGATTCCTCATTTTACTCTTTTAAAAAAAGGGCTACACAGCCGCCTCGTATTGGTCCAGCCCACAACACACCACCAGTTTCAGCCAATCAGAGATCCCCTACCCTCCCCCCCTCCCAAACACTGAAGCGTGGTGCGCTCCATGCCCCCCTCGTTTCCTCCTTCCAGTCCCTAGACCCCATTGAAGCGGGTCACGTCGCCTCAAGATAAAAGTCTGTTCTGTTCAGAACCAAACCCTCGTTTGACTATAGTAGTCACTCATCTACCCTCAAACGGATCCTATTTTCCTCCTCAAAGTATGAGACTGATCCTCTCAACACCTAGCTAGGGCCGAACCCATCTTGACTGACTGAATTTGAATATCTCTCCTCCATTCTTCCCCCTCAGAATACTTTAGAATGAGGATGCCAGAGAGACGTAGGAAACAGATTGCGTCAAGATGCATCCTGCCTGCCCAGATTCACTCAATTCCATTGCATCGTTTGATCGGGTCTACAAGACTCCAGGACCAGTGTTGCCTGCCCTTGCCCTACTCCTCTTGGAAGTGGTGTCTAAAAACATTATTTTGCTCATAACATGTGTACTTCGCTGCATTTATACTTGGGATATCGCTTTACAAAAAAAAAAAAAGGTGCTCTATGGACTTCTAAGTACCACCTGTAGAACTCATGTGTCCCCCCCCACCCCCCTCCTCCACTGACGCAAGTGGACTAGTTAGCATTGGGAATGCATTCAAAAATCTAGGTCTTCCATAAGCCTCCATCTGTGACAGCAGGCCTGGTCATTGGGGTAGAACTGGATAATAATGCCATTTTTAATGATGCTGGGGAGAGGACAGAGGACATGGTCGCCTAGGGAGGTGGGATAGTCAACCAGGGTCAGTGACCTTGGCTAAAAACAAAAAATGGTTTGAAGGCTCAGCTACACACAGAGACCGTCCCCCGTCCCCCCAGAAAAAGCACTGTCAGTCCTTATTAGACACTTCTGTAGAGAGGGGTCAAAGGGCAGATGGCCAAAACTACAGAGTTCCAGACATTTCCCATGATGCAAACACAAAGGCAGAACTGGATATGGATTATTAGATACACCAAAAAGTCTATAGCCTACTAAATATGATAGATGAATGATTCATTCATGATAGATGGCCAGTGTAATAACCAACTCAAGCTGCAGCCCCCCCCCCCCCCCAAAAAAAAATAAAAACACAGGTATATCCCAAAAGATGGACATGCAACGCTCGCTCCTTTTAAAAAAGTTTGAAAGAAAAAAAAGCATGTATGATGTCTGTGTATATTCACCAAGACCATGCCATGCCAGGAACTCTGTGGGAAACTGCAAGTCAAGCAGGAAACCTCTGTGTTCTCTTTACTAACAAAGACTCAAATAAAAGCCTGATTCTTGTTATTTTTGTCATTTTAGCCCTGCAGGAAATTTGTGGCTTATTTTTTTAGAGAATGTTCGTAGAAATCTTGATGACTTTTAACAGAAAGTAGTAATAACATCTTTATAGCCGTGTGTAGTGTGCGTGTAGTGTGTGTGTGTGCGTGTGGTGTGTGTGTGTGTGTGTGGAAGTACTCTGAGCGGTAGACAACCGCATCAGCATGAACTGCAGTAACCCTTTCAGAGCAGCAGCTGAAATGTAAAATGAAAAAACGTGCTCAAATCGTACCAGGAGTTACCTGCCCCCCAAAAACACACGTCGTCGCCAGACAGTTACAACGCAGCCCATTTCTTGTCAGTCGTTCAAAATCAGACTGACGGCAATTACCATGCATTCACCATGGCCTAACCCCTATATAGTGCACTGCTACTAGCACCTATAGAGCTCTGTTCAAAAGTAGTATGTTGGGAATAGGGTGCCATTTGGGACACGTAAGCTTGAAGCACACTTGGAACACCAGTGGGGTTTCAAAAGGACTGGGGACCAATGGGGAAATGTCTAACAGACATTCCTGCGTGATCTATTGCTAAACCATTTTTGGTAAGGACATACTATGACCCTTTTGGCTGTCAAAGTCTCCCGGACACTCCCTTGCACTTAAAAAAATAAAATAAACATAGAACCTGTGAATAGCAACACTTAAAAAAAATTGAAATGGTCACGTGGATATTTGAAGCCGTCAGGTAGCCCGATATCCCTCTGCCAATAGAGGTTGCCTTTAGTTACAGCAACAGATGCCACAATGAGGGATTTCTAAACCAAAATGCCTGAATTAGTGGGAAAGAACCTAGATCCTAAGATAGAAGGGAGTCATCACTGCTTTCCCCACTCGTTTCCTTCATGACTACCGTTCAGATTAATTTCACATTAAACAGGAAAAAGAGACATGAGAAACACAAAGCTCCACACAACTAAAAATGTGACTGATAGATATGAGAACCAGCAAAGTGGTCGTACCAGGGCAGCATGCGTCCGAAGCGTGTCCAGGGGGAGCGGGAGACCAGGAAGCCTATGATCGGGTCCGTCACAGCATCCCAGGCCCTCCCCACGAACAGGATGATCGACGCATAGAATGGGTCCAACTTGAGGGAGGAGAGAGAGAGAAAGGTTACTTCACTACATTTTCTCTGACACCCAAAAGAACTCGTTACATTTTGATTGGCTAGCAGGACAGGAAAATTGTCAGATTCATGCACTTATCAAGAGAACATCCCTGGTCATCCCTACTGCCTCTGATCTGGCGGACTTAAACACAAATGCTTCATATGTCAATTATGCCTGAGTGTTGGAGTGTGCCCCGGCTATCTGTAAATAAAATTAAAATTGTGCTGTCTGGTTTGTTTAATAAAAAGGAATTTGAAATAATTTATACTTTTACTTTCAATACTTAAGTATATTTCAGCAATTACATTTACTTTTGATACTTAAGTATATTTTAAAACCAAAAACGTTTAGACTTTTACACAAGTAGTATTTTACTGGGATACTGACTTATACTTGAGTATGACATTTGGGTACTTTTTTCTACCACTGCTGAAAGTATTCACCATCATTTACATTTTAGTCTTCAGAATAACAGGAAAACACACACACACACACACACACAGCCACACATACACCATCTCAGTCCCCACAAGATTAAAGACTATGGTTCATGTCTAGAGAGCTTAAGGAGATTACTCCATGAATCCTACAACCTGTTCAGGTTCAGGTTACACTTTTTAAAAAATGGTGCACTATGCAGAAAAATCGCTCCACCATTTCCTGGTTGCTAAAATTCTAACAGTAGGGCAAAATTCTAATTTCAGTTCATGTGACACAACAAGCACGTTTAGAGAGAGTCATTGTGCCATCTAAACTTATGAACTATACAGTTGAAGTCGGAAGTTTACTTACACCTTAGCCAAATACATTTAAACTCAGTTTTTCACAATTCCTGACATTTAATCCTAGTAAGAAATTCCCTGTTTTAGGTCAGTTAAGCTCACCGCTTTATTTTAAGAATGTGAAATGTCAGAATAATAGTAGAGAGAATGATTTCTTTCAGCTTTTATTTCTTTCATCACAAGTTTACATACACTCAATTAGTTGGTAGCATTGCCTTTAAATTGTTTAACTTGGGTCAATCGTGTAGGGTAGCCTTCCACAAGCTTCCCACAATAAGTTGGGTGAATTTTAGCCCATTCCTCCTGACAGAATCTCTGAAGCTGGAGACTTATCTCCCTCGCTAACTTTAAGCATCAGTTGTCAGAGCAGCTTACCGATCACTGCACCTGTACACAGCCCATCTGTAATTAGCCCACCCAACTACCTCATCCCCAAATTGTTATTTATTTTGCTCATTTGCACCCCAGTATCTCTATTTGCACATCATGTTTTGCACATCTATCATTCCAGTGTTAATACTAATTGTAATTATTTTGCACTATGGCCCATTTATTGCCATACCTCCATAACTTACTACACTCGCACACACTGTATATATATTTTCTATTGTGTTATTGACTGTACGTTTTGTTTATTCCATATGTAACTCTGTGTTGTTTTTAATCGCACTGCTTTGCTTTATCTTGGCCAGGTCGCAGCTGTAAATGAGAACTTGTTCTCAACTGGCTTACCTGGTTAAATAAAGGTTAATAGAAAAATAGCTGGTGTAACTGAGTCAGGTTTGTAGGCCTCCTTGCTCGCACACGCTTTTTCAGTTCTGCCCACAAATGTTCTATAGGATTGTGGTCAGGCTTTGTGATGGCCACTCCAATACCTTGACTTTGCTGTCCTTAAGCCATTTTGCCACAACTTTGGAAGTATGCTTGGGGTCATTGTCCATTTGGAAGACCCATTTGCGACCAAGCTTTAACTTCCTGACTGATGTCTTGAGATGTTGCTTCAATATATCCACATAATTTTCCTTCCTCATGATGCCATCTATTTTGTGAAGTGCACCAGTCCCTCCTGCAGCAAAGCACCCCCACAGCATGATGCTGCCACCCTTGTGCTTTACGGTTGGGATGGTGTTCTTCGGCTTGCAAGCACCAACTTTTTCCTCCAAACATAACGATGGTCATTATGGCCAAACAGTTCTATTTTTGTTTCATCAGACCAGAGGACATTTCTCCAAAAAGTACGATCTTTGTCCCCATGTGCAGTTGCAAACCGTAGTCTGGCTTTTTTATGCCGGTTTTGGAGCAGTGGCTTCTTCCTTGCTGAGCGGCCTTTCAGGTTATGTCGATATAGGACTTGTTTTACTGTGGATATAGATACTTTTGTACCCGTTTCCTCCAGCATCTTCACAAGGTCCTTTGCTGTTGTTCTGGGATTGATTTGCACTTTTCGCACCAAAGTACGTTAATCTCTAGGAGACAGAACTCCTTCCTGAGCGGTTTGACGGCTGCGTGGTCCCATGGTGTTTATACTTGCGTACTATTGTTTGTACAGATGAACGTGGTACCTTCAGGCGTTTGGAAATTGCTCCCAAGGATGAACCAGACTTGTAGAGGTCTACAATTATTTTTCTGAGGTCTTGGCTGATTTCTTTTGATTTTCCCATGATGTCAAGCAAAGAGGCACCGAGTTTGAAGGTAGGCCGTGAAATACATCCACAGGTACACCTCCAATTTACTCAAATGATGTCAATTAGCCTATCAGAAGCTTCTAAAGCCATTACATCATTTTCTCGAATTTTCCTAGCTGTTTAAAGGCACAGTCAACTTAGTGTATGTAAACTTCTGACCCACTGGAATTGTGATACAGTGAATTATAAGTGAAATAATCCGTCTGTTAACAATTGTTGGGAAAAATTACTTGTGTCCTAACAGACTTGCCAAAACTATAGTTTGTTAACAAGAAATTTGTGGAGTGGTTGAAAAACGAGTTTTAATGACGCCAACCTACGTGTATGTAAACTTCCGACTTCAACTGTAGATAGCAGTCTACATACTGCACCTGAGGTACCATAGATAGCAGCTGTCCTGTAGGTTCAGTCCAACCCTAATTTAGCATATCTGATTCAGCTAGTTAAGGTCTTGCTGAGCAGCTAATATGTAGAATGAGGTGTGTTAAATTAGGGTTGGACTGAAAACCCACAGGACGATAGATCTCCAGGAAGAGGGTTGGGCAGCCCTGTTCTAGAAGGTGATAGCACTGTTTCTGAATTAAGAAACGTTAGGAGCATATAAAAATAAATATCGGCCATGCCCTGTAGAATAGTAGCTTAGTGGTTAAGAGCATTGTGCCAGTAACCGGAAGGTCGCTGGTTCTAATCCCCGAGCCGACTAGGTGAAAAATCTGTCGATGTGCCCTTGAGCAAGGCACTTAACCCTAATTGCTCCTGTAAGTCGCTCTGGATAAGAGCGTCTGCTAAATGACCCAAAAAAATAAAATAGTTTTTGGAAGTTTCTGAATCTGAATAAAGGCCCTTTAGGGGAACATGATATATCCTGCAAGTTGTTTTGTTTTAGGCTGATTGCTGTTAGCTAAGGGCATCTGACCAAGACCGTTCTATATTCCTGACCATATACAAAGAAGAGACCCATGGCATGCTAGATTAGTCTTCATGATTTGTGAGGAATTCATAGCCAGTTGGGAGTCGAGAACCTGAACCGTGACACCATTTGGGATAGCAGGACCCCATCCCTATTCTGCTGGCACTTGCTCGGACAACCCCTGTTAGATCTGTGAACACTAGAGGGGTAGGGCACTGAAATGGGATGGGGCCACTGACTGATGGCTGTGTCCCAAACGACACCCTATTCCCTACATAGTACACTACTTTTGACCAGAGCATTATGGGTAATGCCCTAAATAGGGAATAGGGTGCTACTGACTGAAGAAAAAAATAATTATGCACTCACTAACTGTAAGTTGCTCTGGATAAGAGCGTCTGCTAAATGACTAAAATGTAAAATGTAAGACTCACCTGGGCCACATCCAGCAGGTATATCTGGAGGAAGAAGCCCAGAGCACAGCCTGTGATCTGATAGGGCGCTCCTCCCACCGCATAGCACAGCTTGTTGCATATGGACAACCTGTTGCACTGCTCACGCTGGGAAAGACAGAAAGAAGGGGTTCATTCATTAAACAAGAAGTTGACATGTTTTAACAGTTTCGTTTATTAGGATCCACATTAGGGTAGATGAAAGCTCAATGCATGAACATTGCATTAATTAATGTTTCATGCAATAGCTTAGGCCTGAATGGCAGTCTGTTGCATCAGTGGGGTTGGCTACTGCAAAGCAGAAACAAGCTTCCACCCAGGCTTCCACCCAAGCTTCCGCCCAGGCTTCCGCCCACCAGGCTTCCACCCAAGCTTCCACCCAGGCTTCCACCCAGGCTTCCACGGAATGGATTGATGCAATAATGGGTCTTGTAAAACCCCTGTTTCACATCAGACACCAACTGAACTTTGATGCAGTCTGACCTTCTACAGGGTCCACAAACCAACAAATAACAAAGTGATTTGAAACTAACAGCTCTAACAATGGAGGGAAAGGGAATTTTAGACAAAGTAGGGATATTTTTTTAAACAATATAATAAATGGATTCTATAAATCCAAATAATGATTCAAAAACATACTGTATAACGTTCTCCTATATTTCTCCTCCATCTTCTTTTTAAAAATGGTGAGCCAACATGTTTTCAGCACTTTTAAATTCCAAGACTGATCAGTAGTCATTTTTTATTATGCTCTCGTCCCTCTGCAACACACGTGACACCAAATCGCAATTCATACAGAATATATATATAATCAGCACCTAAGTATCGTGAAAATATTGTATCGTAAATTCCCTGGCAATTCCTAGCCCTACTACAAAATGATCCAAAGATCATCCAATTGACTGGACAGTGCCCATAACTTGAAACATTCAGCGCGAGGTGGCGGTGCATTAACCTATGTGGAAGCACAGTGGCTAGGAAAAACTCCCTAGAAAGGCAGGAACCTAGGAAGAAACCTAGAGAGGAACCAGGCTCTGAGGGGCGGCCAGTCCTCTTCTGGCTGTGCTGGGTAGAGAGGAACCAGGCTCTGAGGGGTAGCCAGTCCTCCTCTGGCTGTGCTGGGTAGAGAGGAACCAGGCTTTGAGGGGCGGCCAGTCCTCTTCTGGCTGTGCCGGGGGATGATTATAAGAGTACATGGCCAGGTTGTTCTTCAAGATGTTCAAACGTTTGTAGATGACCAGCAGGGTCAAATAATAATCACATCAACTCGTTTGCAGAGCCAGTCTAAGTATGATTGGGTCTGCGGTCTCTTTTAGGCTTAGGAGCATTTTGCAGACTCTCATTATAGAAGGTGATAGACTAATCATAGGGGGGGCATTCTGCTTAGTAGCCTACTCCAAAACAGTCCTCCCTCGTCTGCTTTACTCAGAGGGCGCGAGCGAGAGTGAGTTCTGGTTTCCAGATCAACCATCCGGCTACAGAAGACACCCACAGTAACGTGAGGACCAGCGCTGGGGATTCTGGGACAGAAGAGGTGTTTTGTCATGAGACAGTCCAACCCACTACATTGTGAGAAGAACAGTGTAACCTAATTATTCTCTCGCTGTCCCCACAGGTTGTAGAGTGGAACCTTTCCCACCTCAATACCAAATCACCCGGCATGCGTCCCAAATTACACCTTATTCCCTATATAGTGCACTACTTTTATAACATTTCCCTGGCATGAGTGACCTGGCTGACTGCTTCCCAAATGGCACCCCGGTCAATACAAACATGGCCACAGACTGGTAAGTGTGTCCCCTCACAGGGTTGTCACAATCCCCTGGCAAAGACGAGGTGCCGTTCTGCGGTTCTCTAGCAGGGAACTTTGCCAGGTTGGCTGGCCAGCTGGACAGGGAGCCCTCAACATTTGTCAACCGATGGGCCGTTCGGGGCCTCACACACACCCTCCTCCTAAGCCAATGGAAAAAAGGCTCCCTGTGGCCGCCACACAGTTTGGGAGGATCCTGATTGATGGGATCTCAGAGACATCACCTCATTCACACGTAAGTGAACACTGGGTACTAAGTACTGCAGGGCACATAAGAGTCTATTTGTACATTTTAGCAGACACTCTTATCCAGAGCGACTTACTGTTAGTGAGCGCATACATTTTTCATACTGCCCCCCCCCCCCCCCCCCCCCCCCGGGAAACGAACCCACAACCCTGGCGTTGCAAGCGCCATGCTCTACCAACTGAGCTACAGGGGACCTGGTCCCAAATCAAACCTTATCCTCTGCTAGGCTAAATGGAGTTTCCAACACATCTAAACCTGTCAGATTCTCAGGGTAAGTTCACTGGCCATAAAACGAGTTCAAACTAAAGCAACCTTGTCTCCTTGAGAACCTGTGTCTATTGTTGTTTGTACTTTGGATGTGGTGAGACAGTTGATCCACCACGTGACCATAAATGTCTGAGATAGCTAAGACAGTTGACGCACCAACACATTCTGTGTTTCGGTGACAAGTTGTTCTGACTGAAACAGGACCCTCTCTTAAACCTGATACAACCAAAAAGGGATATATGGCATCTTTCACAGTGTTGTGGACCGACTCACTGACCATATATACACATTCCCGAGCGATATCTCGCGCCTGCGCCATGGTGTCTTAATCTACACAGAAACCCTGGCTGACCCTAGTGCATGTAAACTAGTGGGTCGGATCTGCTGACCATCATCACAAGATCTATTAATGTGTGTGTATTACTCACGCTTCAATATTAGTCATCATTCGTGGAGATATAGTCCAATGTGTGCCAATGGGTTGGCTTAAATTGGCAATTGATAAGCATTAAATGATCGATTACTAGAGAAAATATCGGGAAGGGCTATCAGGTGAACACCTATTATTGTTGATGACGAGGTCAACTCAAATAGTTAAACGTATACACTACGGATGTGAATGATAGACAAGTTTGCATAACGTTTAAACGGGCATTTCTAAAATAGTTTTTCCGTTACAACTATTAAAAAAAAAAACAGAATTCCACGTCAATTTACAATGCAGAATAATGGTCCTATTACATGTTACCGGTCAATGAAGTCATACAGCAACACTTTACAGACATAGAATGCAGCTACAGTAACATATCGACAGCGACAATTGATAAGTTTTCAGACAATTTAAGAAAGTGTCGCATCAGGTCTGTACCTTTTCAGACAGTAGAATTCTGCTCCGGCGTAAAATGTTATTTATTTTCCCCTTGACAACAAACGTCGCTGATCGATATGCTGCTGTGTTGTTGTTTTTTTGTTCAGTTTTGTATGGCATGTTAGCTAGATGCGTTTTACTTCTACTAAATGTCTTGGTAAATCAAGGTATTTAATAAAAAACGTTAAATTAAGAGCCGGAGATTATTTGATTGACCGGTTCTGGTTGCCTAGTGATTGATTTTTAGTCCGGTTTCAGAAGCGGCATTCCTTTACAGACAAGTCAAATGTCCGTTCATATCACCAGGGAAGGTTTCGTGTCGGCATTTAAAACCCCGTAGTGTAGCTACCCTAACAGAAACAAACATGCCGTAACCCGAGCCGCTTTCAAGTGGCCACATTCCATTATGTCTGAAAAGCGTAATCGGTTCAGGCTACCGGTGGCCTACTGTAATGGTCATATGAGCCAAAAAAACGAAGAGTAGGCTACCCGGTGCTCGCAACACTGTCCCGAAGACATCGGTGCCATGGATAGGCTAGGATATTCTACATGCAACAGACCGAAGACTGAACACTACACTGGCATTATTAGTGAGGGAGAGAGAGAGAGAGAGAGAGAGAGAGACAGAGACAGAGACAGAGAGAGAGACAGAGACAGAGAGAGACAGAGAGAGAGACAGAGAGAGAGAGAGAGACAGACAGAGAGAGAGAGACAGAGAGAGAGACAGAGACAGAGACAGAGAGAGAGAGAGAGAGAGAGAGAGACAGAGACAGAGACAGAGACAGAGAGACAGAGACAGAGACAGAGACAGAGAGAGAGACAGAGAGAGAGACAGAGAGAGAGACAGAGAGAGAGAGAGAGACAGACAGAGAGAGAGAGACAGAGAGAGAGACAGAGACAGAGAGAGAGAGAGAGACAGAGACAGAGAGAACGAGGCAGAGAGAACGAGGCAGAAGCGTTGCTCATACATTTAGGTAATCTGCATACCGCAATGTCTCGTCTTGCAAATTCACCAGGTAGCCTACATTTCGCCTCTTCCGTTCTGGTTTTTATTTGAATTACACAACTTCCCCCAGGCTTAACACGGAAAATAAGGATCCCAACTTCGTTTTAAACGGTCACACCCCCTAGTATACACCGAAATCAAGCATGCGTGGAAGCGTTCATTCAAACTTCAGGAGAAATCACAGCTCCAGCGCCGGCGAAATGACACGTAGTCCTACTGCTAGTGTTAGTTTCGACTCCAACCCCCAAAGAACCCATTCCAATTCATAGTTTTATTTGATTTTTTTAAATGGCCTAAACCGCATAACTATTTCTAATCACTTATATAGCCTACGTTATTCTCAAATAGGTTTATCGATGAAAGAGAGCACCGCTACCGTAAATATAGCTAACAATTTGAAAATGAATAAAGGGAAGACAAGCCGGGTTTGGTGCTCGCCTTGCGCCTAGCGAAATGTAATTGAATCGTGGTGGCTGCTGTCATCAAAGCCGGTGGAAATGAAAAACCTATGATAGGCCATGTAATCATCAATAAGTAGCCGGCTAGGTAACTAGGCTAATTGATTAGGCTGGGCGTAGAAAGACACACAGACATGAGAACGATAACAACCCGTTCCATCTCTTAGGAATCGCTGTTCAATCAAAGCGGTCTTCCGCTCCCGTTTAGTTCAGAATGTACATTCATGCATACACATTTGCTGCTAATATTGTTGATAAAAGTATAAATGAATCAAATGTACCTTCCCAGCTAATTTGACCACATCTGGGTTGACCGGTTTATTCGTTAATAAACTGGTGTTGGAATATTGTTCGGCTCCTTCTCCTTTTGCCATTACTTTATGGATAAATAACCTTTTGAAAAACAACAAATATTATACAAATAAATCTGTTCGCAAAAACGACGTCTTAAAACACAAATCAGTAGTTAAATCGGTAACACCTTGTGAGATCCGTTCAGACTACACAAAATGTGGAAACTGAGGACGAGGAATCTCCTGTTCCATGATGTAGTAGTAGGACCACGCCCCCTTTACAACGGACCATTCATGATCAGTTATAACTCCGCCCCCTCCGCCCCGCCCCCTCCGCCCCGCCCCCATGACTGCGTGGCAACGGACGCCTCCAACCTGTGGTGGAAAAAAAAGTACTCAAATCTCATACTTGAGTAAAAGTAAAGATACCTTCATAGAAAATGACTCAAGTAAAAGTGAAAGTCACCCAGTAAAATATGACTTGTCTAAAAGTATTTGGTTTTAAATATACTAAAGTATCAAAAGTAAATGGAATTGGTCAAATGTATCAAAAGTAAAAGTATAAACCATTTAAAATTCCTTATATTAAGCAAACCAGACGGCACAATTTATTTTTATTTTTTATTGACGGATAGCCAGGGGCACGCTCCAACACTCAGACATAATAATAATAATAATTATTATTATTACATCATTTAAAAACGAAGCATTTGTGTTAAGTGAGTCCACCAGATCAGAGGCAGTAGGGATGACCAGGGTAAGTGCGTGAATTGGACCATTTTCCTGTCAAAATGTAACGAATACTTTTGGGTGTCAGGGAAAATGTATGGAGTAAAAAGTGCATTATTTACTTTAGGAATGTAGTGAAGTAAAAGTAAAAGTTGGCAAAAATATAAATAGTAAAGTAGTACTTTAAAGTATTTTTACTTAAGTACTTTACACCACTCCCTCCAACTAAATCATCAAGTTCGCAGATGACACAACAGTAGTAGGCTTGATTACCAAAAATGACGAGACAGCCTACAGGGATGAGGTGAGGGCTCTGGGAGTGTGGTTCCAGGAAACAACGTCTCATTCAACGTCAACAAAACAAAGGAGCTGATCGTGGACTTCAGGAAACAGCAGAGCGAGCATACCCCTATCCACATCGACGGGACCGCAGTGGAGAAGGTGGAAAGCTTCAAGTTCCTCGGCGTACACGTCACCGACAATCTGAAATGGTCCACCCACACAGACAGCGCAACAGCGCCTCTTCAACTTCAGGAGGTTGAAGAAATTTGTCTTGGCCCATAAGACCCTCAGAAACTTTTACAAATGGACAATTGAGAGCATCCTGTCGGGCTGTATCACCGCCTGGTACAGCAACTGCACCGCCCGCAATCGCAGGGCTCTCCAGAGGGGGGTACGGTCTGCCCAATGCATCACCGGGGGCACACTGCCTGCCCACCAGGACACCTACAACACCCGATGTCACAGGAAGGCCAAAAAGATCATCAAGGACATCAGCCACCTGAGCCACGGCCTGTTCACCTCACTATTATCCAGAAGGCGAGGTCAGTGCAGGTGCATCAAAGCTGGGACCGAGAGAATGAAAAACAGCTTCAATCTCAAGTCCATCAGACTGTTAAATAGCCATCACTAGCCGGCTATCACCTGGTTACTCAACCCTGCACCTTAGAGGCTACTGCCCTATATACATAGACATGGAATCACTGGTCACTTTAATAATGGAACACTAGTCACTTTAATAATGTTTACATACTGCTTTACTCATCTCATATGTATATACTGTATTCTATTCTACTGTATTTAGTCAATGCCACTCCGACATTGCTCGTCCTAATATTTATATATTTCTTAATTCCATTCTTTTACTTTTAGATTTGTGTGTATTGTTGTGAATTGTTAGATACTACTGCGCCGTTGGAGCTAGGAACACAAGCATTTCGCTACTCCCGCAATAACATCTGCTAAATGTGTAAATGTGACCAATAAAATTGGATTTGATTTGATTCTTTAATAGTGGTTTATTCAAGTTTTTTTTTGCAATAATGTAAATCGATAATTGTCCGTTTCACATTTATTCTGGTATTGTAAAAACATGTACATGTTTTTAAGATATAGTAATAGGTCATCTCAAAGATCACTACGTACAACCACACGTTATGAACCAGAGATACCACATACCCTGGTCTTGGCCTATACAGACCAAACTGTTTTCATGGAAGTTCCACCTCCGCAGTTGAACAAATAGAGGTGGGATGTATACAGCCTTGTGATTTTGTATGCAGGTAAACCTTATATTTGCTAAGGGGCCGTGGGAACTGGTTGTGGTGTGAGGGTGTGTTCCCTAGCAACACTACACACACCACAGGACGGGCTCGTAGTAATGGCTGGATTGGAATTAATGGAATGGTATCCAACACATCACATACATGGTTTCCATGGTGTTTGATGCCATTCCATTCGCTCCATTCCAGCCATTGTTATGAGCCGTCCTCCCCTCAGTAGCCTCCTGTGGTGTACACGCAGAGAGCTGGGAGTTTGAACACTGGCCTGTCTGTTACTGAGGGTCTCGGAGGGACGGGCCACGTGGAGACTGATGTATTCACAAACACACACGCACGCACGCACACACACACACACACACAAAAACACACACAAAAAACAAACACACACACACACACACACACACACACGTAACCTCCTAAGGAGCTCACGCCCTTGTCCTATTGAACAACGTTTCACTGAACTCTGTAACTCCAACTCTACAGTCAAGTTCAGGCAGAATCAGACCATGTCAGACCATGGGTTCAAATACTAGTTGAAATCTTTTATCATTGGCTCTGGCCTGCCTCGAGTGCCAGAGGTTGACAGTTTTTACAGTTTTTGGGGGATATTCTATTGATCCATTAAGCCAGGCAAGCTCAATCAAGCACAGATAAAGTATTTGAAATTACTTAAAATATGCTTGAACCCAGGTCTGGACCATACTCCCAGAGTCAGACTGGATTTACACAGGTCAATGTGTGTCAACAGAAGATAAGATAAATTGCCCCTGGCTGGCTGGCTGTGGTGTTAGTAAACAGAGATGACAGTAACATTCTGTAACAGTGATGACACTCTCTCTTCTCATCTCTCTCTCGAGTCTCTCTAGAGAGAGAGAGGAGCTCCGCGAGAGCGATAGAGAAGGACCGCTAGAATCGCTTCGTGCTATCTCGCTTTGGGAGAGCTCGCTAGAGTGAGCTATCGATCGCTTATCTCTCGATCTCGAGATCGCTCCTCTCTCTCTCTCTTCTCTCTCTCTCTCTCCTCTCTCTCTCTCTCTCTCTCTCTCTCTCTCTCTCATTCCTCTCTCTCTCTCTCTCTCTCTCTCTCTCTCTCTCTCTCTCTTTCTCTCACACACACACACACATATTTCCATCAGCTCACTTTTTCATCTCTGGTAATCTTGTCCCGGCCAGCCCCCCCCCCTCCACACACTAGGGGAAGGGGACATAGTGTCACAGTGGGATTTAGGCTCACATAGTAGTAGATGTAGAGCCTGGATGAGCCAGTCTGTTTCTGCTTTAGCTAACTCCTCTATCATTGTACAATCTCTCAGATGATCATTCACTAAAGTTGCAATATATTTGATCACAATGTTGCACAAGCTTGCAAGGGAAGCCATGTTGAAATATCAGCTACAGTGCATTCGGAAATAATTCAGACCCCTTAACTTTTTCCACATTTGGTTACGTCACAGCCTTATTCTAAAATGAATTAAATGTATTTTTTTTCCTTATCAATCTACACACAATACCCCATAATGACAATGAGAAAACAGATTTTTTTGTTGTTGCAAATTTTGAAAAAAAAAAACAGAACAGAAATACCTTATTTACATAAGTATTCAGACCATTTGCTATGAGACTCGAAATTGAGCTCAGGTGCACCCTGTCTCCATTGATCATCCTTGAGATGTTTCTACAACTTGATTGGAGTCCACCTGAGGTGAATTAAATTGATTGGACATGATTTGGAAAGGCACACACATGTCCATATAAGGTCCCACAGTTGACAGTGCATGTCAGAGCAAAAACCAAGCCATGAGGTCGAAGGAATTGTCCGTAGAGCTCCGAGACAGGATTGTGTCGAGGCACAGATCTGGCGAAGGGTACCAAAGCATTTTTGCAGTTTTGAAGGTCCCCAAGAACACATTGGCCTCCATCATTCTCAAATGGAAGAAGTTTGGAACCACCAAGACTCTTCCTAGAGCTGGCCGCCCGGCAAAACTGAGCAATCGGGGGAGAAGGGCCTTGGTCAGGGTGACCAAGAACCCGATGGTCACTCTGACAGAGCTCCAGAGTTCTTCTGTGGAGATGGGAGAAACTTCCAGAAGGACAACCATCTCTGCAGCACTCTACCAATCAGGCCTTTATGGTAGAGTGGCCAGACGGAAACCACTCCTCAGTAAAAGGCACATGACAGCCCGCTTGGAGTTTGCCAAAAGGCACCTAAAGGACTCTCAGAACATGAGAAACAAGATTCTCTGGTCTGATGAAACCAAGATTGAACTCTTTGGCCTGAATGCCAAGCGTCAGGTCTGGAGGAAACCTGGCACCATCGCTATGGTGGAGTATGGTGGTGGCAGCATCATGCTGTGGGGATGTTTTTCAGTGGTAGGAAGACGCTCTTATCCAGAGCAATTAGGGTTAAATGCCTTGCTCAAAGGCACATCGACAGATTTTCACCTATTCGGCTCGGGGATTAGAACCAGCGACCTTTCGGTTACTGGCACAATGCGCTTAACCACTAAGCTACCTGCCGCCCAACCACTAAGCTACCTGCAGAAGGACTGAGTAAAGGGTCTGAATACTTATGTAAATGTGGTATTTCAGTTTTCTTTTTATAAATTTGCTAGAATATCTAAAAACCTCTTTTTGCTTTGTCATTATGGGGTATTGTGTGTCGATTGATTAGGAGAAAAAAACGATTGAATACATTTTTGAATAAGGCTGTGACATAACAAAATGTGGAACATTCTTTCCAAAATGCACTGTAATTAGAATTGCATCTGCAGCATCTTGTCCACAAATAATATACCAAATATCCTTAAGGTTATCAAAGGTCTGTCTTACAAAAGGTCTGTCAGCCTGGGTAGACATGGTCTCATGATGTATAGGCAGTTTAATACACAGGATAGGTAGGGACTTCGGCTCCCAAAATATGAAATTAGCCTAAGAGAACGTGAATGATACTGCTAGTTAGCATGAGTTTCTGTTCATTTATGGATTAACTTCTCTCTTCAAGCAGCTGGCTGACATTACAATGTGTGTGTGTGTGAACGTTTATGTAAACTACTTTAAATGGCATTTTAGCCAGCGGGGGATTTACTGTTGCCAACTTGGGTTGGAGAGATGCAACACACCAAATGCATGCACGCAAGCACACATGCACGAACGCACACATATACTCACACACACACACACATACACACGCATGTACGTGCACACGTACCCACTGTTCTCTACTCTAGCTGTTTTATAACAGAGGGGAGTTATTTGGCAGTAACAATATGTCCTCAAAAAAACTCTCCAGAAGTGGTAGACAGGGATCAACTCTCTCTCTCTGTGCCAGTGATCACCAAGGGTTAGACAGACTGGCTGAATTACAGATGAAAAATTGATGGATTACAAAAACAGACACCTGTCAAAATTAGTCTAAAGTTGACATTCCCGCACGATCCACAAATAACTGCTCTCTATCGGCTGAATATGTTCTGGGGGGCCGGACAATGTGCTGAATGACTGTGTGTGATGTTTTGTGAGTTGATCAGCATAAAGACGGGTTCCCCGACCTATCACAATGAACGATGAAGTTATATTTTTATGTTCTATACTGGGTGCACCTGATTCTCAGGTGTTATTTATCATTGGAAATGTCACCAGTCTGTTTACATGGTCTGGTTGTATTATTCTCTACTGACGTTATCGTTGAAAGCATACATACGGTACCAGTCAAAAGTTTGGACGCACCTACTCATTCAAGGGTTTTTCTTTATTTTTTACTATTTTCTACATTGTAGAATAATAGTGAAGACATGAAAACTATGAAATAATACATATGGAATCATGTAGTAACCAAAAAAGTGTTAAACAAATCAAAATATATTTTATGTTTGAGATTCTTCAAATAGCCCCCTTTTGCCTTGATGACAGCTTTGCACACTCTTGGCATTCTCTCAACCAGCTTCATGAGGTAGTCACCTGGAATGCATTTCAATTAACAGGTGTGCCTTCTTAAAAGTTAATTTGTGGAATTTCTTTCCTTCTTAATGCGTTTGAGCCAATCAGTTGTGTTGTGACAAGGTAGGGGGGGTATACAGAAGATAACCCTATTTAGTAAAAGACCAAGTCCATATTATGGTAAGAACAGCTCAAATAAGCAAAGAGAAATGACAGTCCATCATTACTTTAAGACATGAAGGTCAGTCAATGCGGAAAATTTCAAGAACTTTGAACGTTTCTTCAAGTGCAGTCGCAAAAACCATCAAGCGCTATGATGAAACTGGCTCTCATGTGGATCGCCACAGGAATGGAAGACCCAGAGTTACCTCTGCTGCAGAGGATAAGTTCATTAGAGTTACCAGCCTCAGAAATTGCAGCCCAAATAAATGCTTCACAGAGTTCAAGTAACAGACAAATCTCAACATCAACTGTTCAGAGGAGACTGTGTGAATCAGGCCTTCATGGTCGAATTGCTGCAAAGAAACCACTACTAAATGACACCAATAACAAGAAGAGACTTGCTTGGGCCAAGAAACACGAGCAATGGACATTAGACCGGTGGAAATGTGTCCTTTGGTCTGGAGTCCAAATTGGAAATGTTTGGTTCCAACCGCCGTTGCTTTGTGAGATGCGGTGTGGGTGAACGGATGATCTCTGCATGTGTATTTCCCACCGTAAAGCATGGAGGAAGAGGTGGTATGGTGTTGGGGTGCTTTGCTGGTGACACTGTCTGTGATTTATTTAGAATTTAAGGCACACTTAACCAGAATGGCTACCACAGCATTCTGCAGCGATACACCATCCCATCTGGTTTGGGCTTAGTGGGACTATCATTTGTTTTTTCAACGGGACAATGACCCAACACACCTCCAGGCTGTGTAAGGGCTATTTTACCAAGAAGGAGAGAGATGGAGTGCTACATCAGATGACCTGGCCTCCACAATCCCCCGACCTCAACCCAATTGAGATTGTTTGGGATGAGTCGGACCGCAGAGTGAAGGAAAAGAGGCTAACATGTGCTCAGCATATGTAGGAACTCCTTCAGGACTGTTGGAAAAGCATTCCAGGTGAAGCTGGTTGAGAGAATGCCAAGAGTGTGCAAAGCTGTCATTAAGGCAAAGGGTGGCTATTTGAAGAATCTCAAATATAAAATATATTTTGTTTTGTTTAACACTTTTTTGGTTAATACATGATTCCATTTGTGTTATTTCATATTTTTGGAATCTTCACTATTATTCTACAATGTAGAAAATAGTAAACAAAAAATAAAAAAAATGGAATGAGTAGGTGTGTCCAAACTTTTGACTGGTACTGTACATACATGCTCTATTGGTCAGTACAACATGTTATCACAATCTATTGGTCAGTCTATGCTAAAAAGAATTGGTCATATTCAGGTAACACAAATGTGCCCCCCCCCACCAAAAAATTAAAGAATAAAACAAAAATAATAATAAAAAAACAAAAATGAAAACAAATGATACAAATAAAAAAATAAAAAAAGATTTGAATTTTTTTTTTTTTGAATGGAAATTAAGAATATACTCTAAAAAAGAAAAAAAGAAAAACATTAACAAAAATATATTTAGAAAAAAACTAAAAAACTAAATTGTAAAGTGGTTGTCCCACTGGCTATCATAAGGTGAATGCACCAATTTGTAAGTCGCTCTGGATAAGAGCGTCTGCTAAATGACATAAATGTGTGTTAATGCTGGGCTGGAACAATCAGTGCGGTCCTCGAGGACCAGGGTTGTAACTTGCTCACCCCGGCGTACAATATTTTCACACAGGTTTCACAAAGCGTGGCTGATCTTGACCCCAAAATCCAGAACTTTCTCAGAGGCTCCTTTTACTCTGCCTCTCTGCGGTGGTTCTGTTTTCTCTCTCATCTCTATACTAAACCAACACGATCTCATGAACTGACTGCTATCAGGCTGTACCTGACACTGGCCTTATGGAAACAAATGCAACCAGTCACGAGGACATACAGACACACAGGAACAGACGAGCGCACATGTCTGACCACCTGAGCCGGCTTAGGGCTCTAAGTACTGTGGGAGTGTTTATATTCTTGTTCTCTGTGTGTGTCTGTGTGTGTGTGTGTGTGTGTGTGTGTGTGTGTGTGTGTGTGTGTGTGTGTGTGTGTGTGTGTGTGTGTGTGTGTGTGTGTGTGTGTGTGTGTGTGTGTGTGTGTGTGTGTGTGTGTGTGTGTGTGTGTGTGTGTGTGTGTGTGTGTGTGTGTGTGTGTGTGTGTGTGTGTGTGTGTGTGTGTGTGTGTGTGTGTGTGTGTGTGTGTGTTGGTGTGTGTGTGTGTGTGTGAGAGGAATGCTATGCGGGATATTCTGACTCCGTCTGATATTTCAAGCCCTCTGTGCTTGCAGCCAAGCAGAGAGATATACTGTACATGTGGGATGGTGGGATGGAAAATCACGAAGGATGGACGCACACACACACACACACACACACACACCACACACACACACACACACACACACACACACACACACACACACACACACAGACAGTCTTGTACAACTAACATTGTGGGGACACACAATTCAGTCCCATTCAAAATCCTATTTTCCCTAAACCCTAACCCTAACCCTAACCCTAACCCATACCCATACCCTTACCCTAACCCTAACCTTAACCCTAACCCTAACCTTAACCCAAAAAGCTAACCTTAACCCTAACCCTAGCTCCTAACCCTAACCCTAAAACTAACCCTAGCTCCTAACCCTAAACCTTAACACAAGTCTAACCCAAACAATAATTCTAACCTTCACCCTAAACTCCCAAGAAATAGCATTTGACCTCTTGGGGACTAACAAAATGTCCCCAGTTGGTCAGATTTGTGTTTGTTTACTACCAGAAGTCCCCACAAGAATAGTTAAACATGTTCACACACACAACATAAACATAGCCGGGTAGGGGCCGGGTGGGCATTCCGCCTCGGAGGCGGATCCGGCTCCAGGCGTGACAACCACCTATTCTCCGCCTCCCTGTTGCGCCCCTGGTCAGGTCTGGACCTCGGCGCGCTGCTTCCCCTCTCCTTCCTCCCACTATACTCCAAGCCCTGTCTGGACCCTGGTGTGGGAGACCCCGAACCTGGAGAGGGGCTGACTTCTGGGTCTGGACTGGAGCCGCTGACCGGAGCTGGACTGGGCACCGGTGGAGCGGACTGCTCTGGCTTCGGAGTGGAGCCGCTGACCGGATCTGGACTAGACCCCGGTTGAGCGGACTGCTCTGGCTCCGGAGTGGAGCCACTGACCGGAGCTGGATCAGGCACCGGTGGAGCGGACTGCTCTGGCTCCGGAGTGGAGCCGCTGACTGGAGCTGGACTGGACCCCGGTGGAGTGGACTGCTCTGGCTCCGGAGTGGAGCAGCTGACCGGAGCTGGATCAGGCACCGGTGGAGCGGACTGCTCTGGCTCCGGACTGGAGCAGCTGACCGGAGCTGGATCAGGCACCGGTGGAGCGGACTGCTCTGGCTCCGGACTGGAGCTGCTGACTGGTGCCGGACCAGGCACCGGTGGAACGGGCACGGGCCGTGCCGGACTGGACACACTCACCACTGGTCTGGTGCGAGGAGCAGGCACGGGCCGAACCGGACTAGAAACATGCACCACTGGCTTGGTGCGAGGAGCAGGAACAGGCCGGGCCGGACTGGCGACACGCACCACTGGCTTGGTGCGAGGTGCGGGAACAGGCCGGGCCAGACTGGCGACGCGCACCACTGGCTTGGTGCGAGGAGCAGGAACAGGCCGGGCCGGGCTGGCGACGCGCACCACTGGCTTGATGCGAGGAGCAGGTACAGGCCGTCCGGGCTGGCGACGCGCACCACTGGCTTGGTGCGAGGAGCAGGAACAGGCCGGGCCGGGCTTGCGACGCGCACCACTGGCTTGTTGTGAGGATCAGGAATAGGCCAGGTCGGGCCGGGCTGGCGACGCACACCACTGGCTTGGTGCGAGGAGCAGGAACAGGCCGGGCCGGACTGGCGACACGCACCACTGGCTTTGTGCGAGGAGCGGGAACAGGCCGGGCCGGACTGGCGACGCGCACCACTGGCTTGGTGCTAGGAGCAGGAACAGGCCGGGCCGGGCTGGGAACACGCACCACTGGTTTCGTGCGGGGAGCAGGCACGGGCCGTACCGGACTGTGGAGGCGGACTGGAGGTCTGAAGCGGAGAGCTGGCACAACCCGTCCTGGCTGGATGCCTACTTCCGCACAGTATGTGTGAGGCATTAGCACAGGACGCACAGGGCTGTGCACGCGCACTGGAGATAGAGTACGTAGAACCGGCGCAGGATATGCGGTACCGAGGAGAAGTACTGGAGACCAGGAGCGTTGAGCCGGCACACCCCGTCCTGGCTGGATGCACATCTTCGCACGGCACGTGCGTGGTGCTAGCACAGGACGAACAGGACTGTGCCGGCACACTGGCGACACAGTACGTAGCTTCGCATTACACGGAGCCTGCCCAGTCACACGCTTCCTCGCGTGAGTACGGGGAGTTGGCTCTACTCTAACACTGGGCTCCGCCATCCACCCTTTTAGCCCCCCAATTTTTTTTTCTTGGGGCTGTCTCTCGGGCTTCTTCCTCGAACGGCTTCCTCTGTGTTGCCGTTGCTCCTCTCCTGCCTGGGCACCTACCTTCGCCCATGGCCCTTTCCCCGCAAATATCTCCTCCCATGACCACCAATTGCCCACCTGTGACATGGCTACTCTCGCCGCCTAGGCACGCTGCTTGGTCCGTGTTTGGTGGGATCTTCTGTCACGTTCGTTCATAGACGGGTCAGACCAAGGCGCAGCGTGATATGCATACATGTTTATTTAACGAATAAACACAACGACAAAACAATAAACCAACGATACGTGACGTCCTAAGGTACACACAACAAACCTCACACTGAACAAGATCCCACAACACCTAATTGCCAATAGGCTGCCTAAGTATGCTCCCCAATCAGAGACAACGAGCGACAGCTGCCTCTGATTGGGAACCACACCTGCCAACATAGATCTAGACATACTAGATCACAAACATAGAAAATACAACATAGAAAATCACACCCTGACTCAACAAATAAGAGTCCCCAGAGTCAGGGCGTGACACGCAGTCCTTGAGACGTCACTACAGACCCGGGTTCGATCCCAGGCTGTGTCACAGCCGGCCGTGACCGGGAGACCCATGAGGCGGCGCACAATTGGCCCAGCGTCGTTTGGTTTGGCCGGCCTGGATTTCCTTGTCCCATCGCACTTCTTGTGGCGGGCCGGGCGCCTGCTGGGCGGTGTTTCCTACGACACATTTGTGCAGCTGGCTTCCGGGTTAAGCTAGCAGTGTGGCTTGGCAGGGTGGCTCTCGACCGAGTCCATACAGGAGTTGCAGCGATGGGACAGGACTGTAACTACCAATTGGGAAGGAAAAAAGGGTAAAGATAATAGCACAAGACATACAATAATAAGCCATTTAGCAGACGCTTTTATCCAAAGCGACTTACAGTCGTGCGTGCATACATTTTTGTGTATGGGTGGTCCCGGGGATTGAACCCACTACCTTGGTGTTACAAGCGCCGTGCTCTACCAGCTGAGCTACAGAGGACCACAATATATTGACTGTATAAGGAGATATATAATAATATTGACTGTATAAGGACATATGTAATAATATTGACTGTATAAGGACATATATAATAATATTGACTGTATAAGGAGATATATAATAATATCGATTGTATAATTTTTTAAATTTTTTTTTATTAACCTTTATTTAACCAGGTAAGCCAGTTGAGAACAAGTTCTCATTTACAACTGCGACCTGGCCAAGATAAAGCAAAGCAGTGCGATAAAAACAACAACACAGAGTTACATATGGAATAAAACAAAACATAAAGTCAAAAATACAACAGAAAATATATATACAGTGTGTGCGAATGTAGTAAGTTAAGGAGGTAAGGCAATAAATAGGCCATAGTGCAAAGTAATTACAATTTAGTATTAACACAGGAATGATAGATGTGCAGAAGATGATGTGCAAATAGAGATACTGGGGTGCAAATTAGCTAAATAAATAACAATATAGGGATGAGGTAGTTGGGCGGGCTAATTTCAGATGGGCTGTGTACAGGTGCAGTGATCAGTAAGCTGCTCTGACAACCGATGCTTAAAGTTAGTGAGCGAGATAAGTGTCTCCAGCTTCAGAGATTTTTGCAATTTGTTCCAGTCATTGGCAGCAGAGAACTGGAAGGAATGGTGGCCAAAGGAGGTGTTGGCTTTGGGGATGACCAGTGAGATATACCCGCTGGAGCGCATAATACGGGTGGGTGTTGCTATGGTGACCAATGAGCTAAGATAAGGCGGGGATTTGCCTAGCAGAGATTTATAGATGACCTGGAGCCAGTGGGTTTGGCGACGAATATGTAGTGAGGGCCAGCCAATGAGAGCGTACAGGTCACAGTGGTGGGTAGTATATGGGGCTTTGGTGACAAAACGGATGGCACTGTGATAGACTACATCCAATTTGCTGAGTAAAGTGTTGGAGGCTATTTTGTAAATGGAGATATATAATAATATTGACTGTATAAGGACATATATAATAATATTGACTGTATAAGGACATATATAATAATATTGACTGTATAAGCAGATATATAATAATATTGACTGTATAAGGACATATATATTAATATTGACTGCATAAGGACATAGTGACATAAGCAAAGGACTTCTGTCCACGCGCTCTTCTGTCCACACGCTCGGAGAGAGACTGAGGAGGCTTTGACCTGAGCAGGCAGAAGGACTGTCAGGTGTCCTGCCCCCTAGCTACCCCCCCCTAGCAACCTATCAGTGGCCTGGAAGCAGAGGTGACTGGGAGTTTGGGGAGCCAGTTTATCAACCCTGTTCCCGGAGAGCAACCGTTGTGTGGGTTTTCACCACAACCATAATGTGGCACACCTGATTCTAATGAGCTGAACCAGGTTTATTTACAACTGGGTTTGGAGCGAAAACCTTACAGCATGGTCGCTCTCCAGGAACAGGGTTGGAGACACCTGCCCTAGTCTCTCTGGCACTGTTGGGGGATGGTTGGAGTGAGCTGCATGGAGTTCTAAAACTCACAAGCGAGGGGAATCCGTAACAGAAGAGTGTTTGTGATTTCGACTCTGTAAGTAGTCGTATCAGAACTTACATTTACATTTTAGCAGACGCTCTTATCCAGAGCGACTTACATGAGCATTTAGGGTTTAAGTGCCTTGCTTAAGGGCACATCGACAGATTTTTCACCTAGTCGGCTCTGGGATTAGAACCAGCGACCTTCCGGTTACTGGCACAACTCTCTTACCCACTCATCTACCTGCCGCCCTAAGCTAACTTCTCCATGCTGTCGTCAACACACAGCAGTGACCAGGAGGGTAGCGGTAAAAGCTTCAGTGTATTTTCCCATGGTGTGATGCTTGCTGCCAGACCCACTGCACATGTTCTACAACAATCCAGCACAATACTGTGACTTCATACAACCCTGAGGAAAATCTGACATTGGTACATCCATTTTTTTTTGTATTTTACATGAATGATATGTATGGCCATTGATTTCTGGAAGAATATAACTGATACACGCCTCATGAGGTTAGTTCAACTGTCTTGCTTAATGTTAATCTCATATTGGTTTGATTCCTAAAGCCTTAAAGGTCTAACGCAGGCGTTTTTATCTCAATATCAAATCATTTCTGGGTAACAATTAAGTACCTTGCTGTGAATGCATGCTGTTAAAATGGTCAAAAAAAATCCATACAAAATTGCTTCTTAGCAAGAGCAATTTCTCAAGCAACAATTTTGCTGGGACTGTCTGCGAGGGGTCTGAGTGGGGGAGGGGGGAAAACTGAAAACTAGCTGTTATTGGCAGAGAGGTTTGGAAACTCTCTTTGTTATTGGTCTATTAACTAATTTACCACCTGGTGATGTCACCAGACAGGCAAAAACTCCATCCCACCAAAACAGGCTGAAATTTCAGGTAGTCTTTTCAAACAGCTCTTCAACTAAAAGGACATTGTCATAATTTTCACAATTTCACAGTATTATTTGAATCAAGAGTATTAGTGTTAAGGGTCGCAGCTTGCTGTACATGGGTACTTAGGGGAAAACCCTTCCACTGTCTGATCCTGTTCATCTGATCCTGTTCTCTCTCTTGGACTGAAATGACCTCTAGGCTCAAGTTCAAGTGTCTGTCCTCAGTGGCCGATCAGCAGATTACATTTACATTTTACATTTTAGTCATTTAGCAGACGCTCTTAACCAGAGCGACTTACAGGAGCAATTAGGGTTAAGTGCCTTGCTCAAGGGCACATTAACGTCATTTAGCAGACGCTCTTAGCCAGAGCGACTCACAAATTGGTGCGTTCACCCTATAGCCAGTGGGATAACCACTTTACAATTTGGGGGGGGGGGGGGGTTAGAAGGAATACTTTATCCTATCCCAGGTATTCCTTAAAGAGGTGGGGTTTCAAATGTCTCCGGAAGGTGGTGAGTGACTCCGCTGTCCTGGCGTCGTGAGGGAGCTTGTTCCACCATTGGGGTGCCAGAGCAGCGAACAGTTTTGACTGGGCTGAGCGGGAGCTATGCTTCCGCAGAGGAAGGGGAGCCAGCAGGCCAGAGGTGGATGAACGCAATGTCCTCGTTTGGGTGTAGGGACTGATCAGAGCCTGAAGGTAGAGAGGTGCCGTTCCCCTCACTGCTCCATAGGCAAGCACCATGGTCTTGTAGCGGATGCGAGCTTCAACTGGAAGCCAGTGGAGTGTGCGGAGGAGGGGGGTGACGTGAGAGAACTTGGGAAGGTTGAACACCAGACGGGCTGCGGCATTCTGGATGAGTTGTAGGGGTTTAATGGCACAGGCAGGGAGCCCAGCCAACAGCGAGTTGCAGTAGTCCAGACGGGAGATGACAAGTGCCTGGACCAGGACCTGCGCCGCTTCCTGTGTAAGGCAGGGTCGCACTCTCCGAATGTTGTACATGCGCACGCACACACACACACACACACACACACACACGCACGCACACACACACACACACACACACACACACACACACACACACACACACACACACGCACACACACATGCCCACTCATGCACAGACACGCACACACACACACACACACACACATACAAACACACACACACACACACACATGCACACACACATTCATATACAAACACACACACACACGCACACACACACACACACGCACACACACATGCCCACTCATACCACACGACAACGCACACACACACCTACACACCACATGTCAAAACACAAACAGACACACACACATACAGCGGTGATAAGCAGGAACAGAATTATAACACATGCACGGCTTGTTAGATTGGAGTAAGGGATTCAAGTAGGGAGGGGTGGGGGATGGGGATAGGCAAAGGGCATGTCGGGGGGTAGGTGTCGGGGTATTGGGGTAGTGGGGAGACAAATAGGACGGAGGGTAGGGAGGTGTTGAAGTGAGGGGTGATGTTTTAGTGATGGGGGGAGGGGGATGGTGTGGGGGGTGGTGATTGGGGGAGTGAGAGGTGTTGGTATGTTGTGTGTGTGGGAGGTGGTGGTGTGTGTGTGTGGGTGGGTGGGGTGGTGTGTGGTGGGGGTTGTGTGTGGTGGGTGAGTGTGGTTTGGTGTTTGTGTGTGTGGGGGTGAGTGTGGGTTTGTGGTGTTGGTGTTGTGTGTGGGGTGAGTGGTGGTGTGTTTGTGTGTGTGGGGGTGGGTGTGTGTGGGTGAGTGTGGTGTGGGGAGTGTGTGTGTGTGTGTGTGTGTGTGGTGGGGGTGAGTGTGGTGTTTGTGTGTGTTGTGTGTGTGTGTGGGTGGTGGGGTGGTGTGTTGTGTGGGGTGGGTGGTGGTGGTGTGGGGGTGTGGGTGTGTGTGTGTGTGTGGGGTGAGTGTTTTGGGTTTGTGTGTGTGTTGGTGTGTGGTGTGTGGTGTGTGTGTGGGTGAGGGTGTGTGGTGGGTGGTGTGTGTGTGGGGTGAGTGTCGTTGGTGGTGAGTGTGTGTGTGGTGTTTGTGGTGTGGGTGAGGTGTGGTGTGTGTTTGTGGTGTGGTGTGTGTGTTTGTGTGGTGTGTGTGTGTGTGTGTGTGGTGTGAGGTGTCGGTGTGGTGTGTGTGTGTGTGTGTGTGTGGTGAGTGTGTGTGTGTGTGTGTGGTGTGTGTGTGGGTGAGTGGTGTGTGTGGGTGAGTGTGTGGTGTGGTGTGTGTGTGTTGGTGTGTGTGTGTGTGGGTGAGTGTGTGTGTGTACATGTACATTAACTTTTACTCAGTTTCATTGACGGTTTGGGATGGTTGGTTGTTGATGGACAGGTGAGTCAGACAGTCACACATACAGTGCATTCGGAAAGTATTCAGACCCCTTGACTTTTTCCACATTTTGTCACATTACAGCCTTATTCTTAAATTGATTACATTGTTTTTTCCCCTTCATCAATCTACACACAATATCCCCTAACGAACAGGTTTTTAGATTTTTGTACTAATTTATATAATAAAATAAACTGAAATATCACATTTACATAAGTATTCAGACCCTTCACTCAGTACTTTGTTGAAGCACCTTTGGCAGCGATTAAAGCCTTGAGTCTTCTTGGGTATGATGCTACAAGCTTGGCACACCTGTATTTGGGGAGTTTCTCCCATTCTTCTCTGCAGATCCTCTCAAACTCTGTCAGGTTGGATGGGGAGCGTCGCTACACAGCTATTTTCAGGTCTCTCCAGAGATGTTCGATCGGGTTCAAGTCTGGGTTCTGGCTGGGCCACTCAAGGACATTCAGAGACTTGTCCTGAAGCCACTCTTGTGTTGTCTTGGCTGTGTGCTTAGAGTCATTGTCCTGTTGGAAAGTTAACCTTCGCCCCAGTCTGAGGTCCTGAGCGCTCTGGAGCAGGTTTTCATCAAGGATCTCTCTGTACTTTACTCTGTTAATATTTCCCTTGATCCTGACTAGTCTCCCAGTCCCTGCCACTGAAAAGCAACCCCACAGCATGATGCTGCCATCACCATGCTTCACCGTAGGGATGGTGCCAGGTTTCCTCCAGACGTTACGCTTGGCATTCAGGCCAAAGAGTTCAATCTTGGTTTCATCAGACCAGAGAATCTTGTTTCTCATGGTCTGAGTCCTTTAAGTGCCTTTTGGCAAACTCCAAGCGGGTTGTCATGTGCCTTTTACTGAGGAGTGGCTTCCGTCTGGCCACTCTACCAGAAAGGCCTGATCGATGGAGTGCTGCAGAGATGGTTGTCCTTCTGGAAGGTTCTCCCATCTCCACAGAGGAACTCTGGAGCTCTGTCAGAGTGACCATCGGGTTCTTGGTCACCTCCCTTACGAAGGCCCTTCTCCCCCGATTGCTCAGTTTGGCCGGGCGGCCAGCTTTAGGAAGAGTCTTGGTGGTTCCAAACTTCTTCCATTTGAGAATGATGGAGGCCACTGTGTTCTTGGGGACCTTCAATGCTGCAGAAATGTTTGGGTACCCTTCCCCAGATCTGTGCCTCGACACAATCCTGTCTCGGAGCTCTACGGAAAATTCCTTCAACTTCATGGCTTAGTTTTTGCTTTGACATGCATTGTCAACTGTGGGACATTATATAAAAAGGTGTGTGCCTTTCCAAATCATGTCCAATCAATTGAATTTACCACAGGTGGACTCCAATCAATTTGTAGAAATATCTCAAGGATAATCAATGGAAACAGGATGCACCTGAGCTCAATTTCAAATCTCATAGCAAAGGGTCTGAATACTTACATAAATACGGTATTTCCGTTTTTTATTTTTAATACATTCGCAAAGATTTAGCAGATGTTATTGCGGGGGTAGTGAAATGCTTGTGTTTCTAGCTCCGACAGTGCAGTAATATCTAACAAGTAATATCTAACAATTTTACAACATATACCCAATACATACAAATCTAAGTAAAGCAATGGAAATAAGAATATATAAATAAATATATGGACGAGCAATGTCAGAGCGGCATAGACTAAGATACAGAAGAATATTACAGAATAGAATGCAGTATATACATATGAGATGAGGAGTGCAAGATATGTAAACATTATTAAAGTGACTAGTGTTCCATTTCTTAATGTGGCCAGTGATTTCAATAGGTAGCAGCAGCCTCTAATGTGCTAGTGATGGCTGTTTAACAGTCTGATGACCTTGAGATAGAAGCTGTTTTTCAGTCTCTCGGTCCCAGCTTTGATGCACCTGTACTGACCTCGCCTTCTGGATGATAGCAGGGTGAACAGGCAGTGGCTCGGGTGGTTGTTGTCCTTGATTATCTTTTTGACCTTCCTGTGACATCGGGTGCTGTAGGTGTCTTGGAGGGCAGGTAGTTTGCCCCCGGCGATGCGTTGGGCAGACCACACCACCCTCTGGAGATCCCTGCGGTTGCGGGCGGTGCAGTTGCCGTACCAGGCGGTGATACAGCCCGACAGGATGCTCTCAATTGTGCATCTTCTCCATTGCGGTCCTGTCGATGTGGATAGGGGGGGTACTCCCTCTGCTGTTTCCTGAAGTCCATGATCATCTCCTTTGTCTTGTTGATGTTGAATGAGAGGTTGTTTCCTGGCACCACACTCCCAGAGCCCTCACCTCCTCCCTTTTAGGCTGTCTTGTCATTGTTGGTAATCAAGCCTACTACTGTTGTGTCGTCTGCAACCTTGATGATTGAGTTGGAGGCGTGCTTGGCCATGCAGTCATGGGTGAACAGGGAGTACAGGAGGGGGCTGAGCACGCACCCCTGAGGGGCCCCAATGTTGAGGATCAGCGAAGTGGAGGTGTTGTTTCCTACCTTCACCACCTGGGGGCGGCCCGTCAGGAAGTCCAGGACCCAGTTGCACAGGGCGCGGTTCAGACCCAGGGCCTTGAGCTTAATGATGAGCTTGGAGGGTACTATGGTGTTGAATTCTGAACTATAGTCAATGAACAGCATTCTTACATAGGTATTCCTCTTGTCCAGATGGGATAGGGCAGTGTGCAGTGTGATGGCGATATCATCGTCTGTGGATCTATTGGGGCGGTAAGCAAATTGAAGTGGGTCTAGGGTGACAGGTAAGGTAGAGGTGATATGATCCTTGACTAGTCTCTCAAAGCACTTCATGATGACAGAGGTAAGTGCTACAGGGCGATAGTCATTTAGTTCAGTTACCTTTGCTTTCTTGGGTACAGGGACAATGGTGGCCATCTTGAAGCATGTGGGGACAGCAGACTGGGATAGGGAGAGATTGAATATGTACTTGAACACACCAGCCAGCTGGTCTGCGCATGCTCTGACGACGCGGCTAGGGATGCCATCTGGGCCGGCAGCCTTGCGAGGGTTAACACGCTTAAATGTCGGCCACGGAGAAGGAGAGCCCACAGTCCTTGGTAGCGGGCCGCGTCGGTGGCACTGTATTATCCTCAAAGCAGCCGAAGAAGATGTTTAGCTTGTCCGGAAGCAAGACGTCGGTGTCCTTGACGTTACTGGTTTTCCTTTTGTAGTCTGTGATTGTCTGTAGACCCTGCCACATGCGTCTCGTGTCTGAGCCGTTGAATTGCGACTCCACTTTGTCCCTATACTGACGTTTTGCCTGTTTGATTGCCTTGCGGAGGGAATAACTACACTGTTTGTATTCTGCCATATTCCCAGTCACCTTGCCATGGTTAAATGCGATGGTTCGCACTTTCAGTTTTGCGCGAATGCTGCCATCTATCCACGGTTTCTGGTTAGGGTAGGTTTTAATAGTCACAGTGGGTACAACATGTCGTATACACTTCCTGATGAACTCAGTCACCGTATTAGTATATACGTCAATATTATTCTCTGAAGCTACCCGGAACATATCCTAGTCCGCGTGATCAAAACAATCTTGAAGCGTAGATTCCGATTGGTCAGACCAGCGTTGAATAGTCCATAGGACGGGTACTTCCTGTTTGAGTTTCTGCCTATAGGAAGGGAGGAGCAAAATGGAATCGTGGTCAGATTTGCCGAAAAGAGGGCAGGGGAGGGCCTTGTATGCATCCGGGAAGTTGGAGTAGCAGTGGTCAAGTGTTTTACCAGCGCGAGTACTACAGTCAATGTGTTGATAGAACTTCGGTAGCCTTTTCCTCAAATTTGCTTTGTTAAAATCCCCAGCTACAATAAATGCAGCCTCAGGATATGTGGTTCCAGTTTTCATAAAGTCCAGTGAAGTTCATTGAGGGCCGTCGTGGTATCGGCTTGAGGGGGGATATACACGGCCGTGACTATAACCGAAGAGAATTCTCTTGGGAGATAATACGGTCGGCATTTGATTGTGAGGTATTCTAGGTCGGGGGAACAGAAGGACTCGAGTTCCTGTATGTTATCACAATTCCACCATGAGTCGTTAATCATAAAACATACATCTCCGCCCTTCTGCTTCCCGGAGAGATATTTATTCCTGTCTGTGCGATGAACTGAGAACCCAACTGGCTGGACTGACTCGGACAGTATATCCCGAGTAATAACACATACAATGTTTTGGGCTAATAACGTAAGAAATAATACATAATAAAACAAAATACTGCAAAGTTTCCTAAGAGCTAGAAGTAAGGCAGCCCTCTCTGTCGGTCCATACCTGAGAGCCTGCGTATCAACCTGATAGCCTGCGTACCATCCTGATAGCCTGCATACCAGCCTGATAGCCTGCGTACCATCCTGATAGCCTGCGTACCATCCTGATAGCCAGCATACCAGCCTGATAGCCTGCATACCAGCCTGATAGCCTGCGTACCATCCTGATAGCCTGCATACCATCCTGATAGCCTGCATACCAGCCTGATAGCCTGCATACCAGCCTGATAGCCTGCGTACCATCCTGATAGCCTGCGTACCAGCCTGATAGCCTTCGTACCAGCATGATAGCCTGTTCAGGTAGAAACAGGTTGGTACGCAGGCTATCATAGACACATATCTCCCTCTCTGGCCATAGACACATATCTCCCTCTCTGGCTATAGAGACATACCTCCCTCTCTGGCTATAGACACATATCTCCCTCTCTGGCTATAGAGACATATCTCCTCTCTGGCTATAGAGACATACCTCCCTCTCTGGCTATAGACACATATCTCCCTCTCTGGCTATAGAGAAATATCTCCCTCTCTGGCTATAGAGACATATCTCCTCTCTGGCTATAGAGACATATCTCCCTCTCTGGCTATAGAGACATCTCTCCCTCTCTGGCTATAGAGACATATCTCCCTCTCTGGCTATAGAGACATATCTCCCTCTCTGGCCATAGAGACATATCTCCCTCTCTGGCCATAGAGACATATCTCCCTCTCTGGCTATAGAGACATCTCTCCCTCTCTGGCTATAGAGACATATCTCCCTCTCTGGCCATAGAGACATATCTCCCTCTCTGGCCATAGAGACATATCTCCCTCTCTGGCTATAGAGACATATATCCCTCTCTGGCCATAGACACATCTCTCCCACTGCTGTCTATCTAGATTGTAAACCAGCAAATCAAGGTTTACAGACAGTAAATTGCCCCTATGTGACTATGATAAAAGCAGGTTGGACATTACCTATCATGCTATAATACAGTAATATGTAGTACTTCGCTGACACCTATTGGTGAGGTTACGGTATTGCAGGAAGGGCATGGACGACGTCAGTGTAAACTCAGTGTTTAGTAAAAGTACACTAGATGGCAATACAAAACCACTGCAATAATATGACTCTTTTTGTCACTTAAAGGGAACTGCAACTGCTGATTTAGCCTGATTTAGCCATGACAGAAGCCAAACGTGAGCTGGCTTGGGGGTGTGGTTTGATGGGGGTGTGTCTTGGGTGTGTCCCTGTCAGAACCTTGCCTGCAGCTGTTTCCCCCAACTCAATCACAACAAACAAACCTCCTGCAGGTTGAGTTCAATAACTACAGGGAGATGTATGGTGAGTAGCCAGAGGAAGCTTTGAATAGGTCAGTCGCCTACAGAGTAATATGAGAATTGCTGAATTTATGTACATATTCTAAACTAAGTGTTTTGATAATTTTCAAATGTAGTAACAGGTCCATGTAGAATAAACAACCCTTTACATAATACCATAGAAGCAGTGTTCTGCTAATATAACAATGTTCACCTTCCATCTTTCATTGTCATTCACAGCCGATACAGATACTGTGACTATCTGCATTTTGTCTGGTGGTAATGGGGTTACCTTGGTAACATGTCAGAGTGGTCAAACCTTCCTGTCTGGTGGTAATGGGGTTACCTTGGTAACATGTCAGAGTGGTCATCCCCTTCCTGTCTGGTGGTAATGGGGTTACCTTGGTAACATGTTCAGAGTGGTCATACCTTCCTGTCTGGTGGTAAATGGGGTTACCTTGGGTAACAGTCAGAGTGTCAAAACCTTCCTGTCTGGTGGTAATGGGGTTCCCTTGGAAACCCATGTCAGAGTGGTCTACCTTCCTGTTTGGGGGTAATGGGGTTACCTTGGTAACATGTCAGAGGGGTCATACCTTCC